GATTTATACAACTCGTTAATGCTTTTTTGCTCAATGTCTTTAACTACTATTTGCTTGCAAATTATTCTAGTTGGAGTTGTCTGAGTAGTATGGACACTTTATTTCCTTAATTATAAAGCTGTATTATACAACTCTAAATTAATTATTTGGCTACTTTATTGAATTAAATGCCATTGCGGTCTTAGAGAGGGGAGCGAATTGAAGAAAGTGTGGCAAGGATGATGAAGATAATTGATCTTGCCCGCAACATTCGCGAGCGTCACAACAAGCCACTCAAAACACCTCTCAGGTCTGCTTATAAGCTATTTCTTGCCTCATGTTTTTCTGACTTATATGTTTCTGCTCTTTCTTTACTCTCTTGCCCATTCATTTTTTGTAATTTAGGAAGATGATAGTTGTTCATAAAGATGAAGGCTTTCTTGGTGACATATCTGGCAAACTAAGAGAGGTGCGTGAACAGTGTGGAACCTTTAGTTTAGTCCTTTTTCCAATACTAGTTTAATGAGGGCCCCTCTTTTTACTTGTTCTCTCTTGTTATCCCATGGGGTTCATATCTATACTCAAAATTCTTCAAGTTTTCAAAGAGGCATTCAAGGCCAATTATCAATATCATTTCTTCCTGTCATTCCTGGAGTTGTAATAATCTTTAAATATCCTTGTAGTTTGTAGCACTGATAGGAACTGCTTTTTTCCTAAATTACTGCTATGTGTTTTTGTGGATATCAAATGGAAAAATGAGAAGAAAGGCAAAAAAGTTAATATACAAGCCTTCTGCTGTTCATTTCAAGTTGGTAAATTTCATTTTAGCTGTTGCAAGGTTTTTTTTTTGTCATCATTAGTGACTTTTCAATTATTATCTTAAATTTTTGGGAAACTTGCCGAATTGAAAGACAGCCCTTATTTTGTTTAGATTTCTAAGGAGATGATGCAGTATGCTGCTATAGAATGATTCTTTAAGTAGGAGCCAGGAAGTGAGTAAAATGTTTACAATTTTTTCCTCTAGCTTAATGGCATTAAGAAATTAGAGTTGATGATGCAATGTTATAGTTAATATTATTTTAAATACCCTCCACTTAGTTCGATCCCCTTCCCAGAAATTTTTTCTTTCCCTTTGGGTGGTGTGTTCATCCAATCGAAATATAAATTTACTGTTGGGCAATATTTTCGCTATTTTTTGTGTATCTGATTTTCCTCTTTCTGTAGTATGTATTGGAGGAGCTCAATATAAGGTCTCTTGTTCCATGCAAAGACACTGAGAAGTATGCTTCTGTACGTGCAGAGCCTGATTTTAGGTATGTATGGAATTATCTTAGGCAACATTATGCTTCTGTAGGTGCAGAGCCTGATTTTGTGAGGTCTCTTGTTTCATGCAATATTCCCCACTGCCCCTTCTTCCCTTCCTTTGAGAGGAGCAGGGGATGGGTACAGAACTACATTCATCTAATATTGTTTGCTTATTCTATTATTTCTTGTAGCATATTAGGTAAGCGACTAGGGAAATCTATGGGAGTTGTTGCCAAGGAAGTCAAGGCCATGTCTCAGGAAGATATATTAGCTTTTGAGAAGGCTGGGGAGGTGACTATTGCTACGCACTGTTTGAAGCTTACCGATATTAAGGTATGCCAACTTATGCTAGTAGGTTTGTTTAGCATAGCTTTTTATTAAATTGGCATAAGTATAAAAAAAGCCCTTGAACTAGAATTAAATAATTATCCAAGCCCCTATCATTTTATTGCAATTAATTAAGCCTCCAAACATCTATTTTCACCAATTGAGCCCTTATTAGACGAAAATTGGTTAACCACTAATACCCACTTTTGTACAATCGAGGGCTTAATTTGGTGAAAATAGATGTTTAACAGTTCTACTGATCCGAAATAGGAGATTCAGAACTTGATCGATTGCAATAAAATGTTGTGGGCTTAAATGATTATTAAATTTTTGTTCGAGGACTTTTTGACCCTTTCCTTTAGCCTACTAAATTTCATTTAATGTATTTGTTAAAATTGTTTTGCTCTGTCTCTTTGTTTAGTCTTTATAGTGATGGCATCATTTGAAACTTTCTGAAAGGATAAATGTTTTCCAAAGTGGACAAATAGGAATAGTTCGTGGAATTTTCATGGAAATAATTGGCTAGCCGTTTCCTGAGCTGCTGTCTTTTTTTTTTTTTTAATGCTTTTATATATTCTTGAAATAAGAGGTGGAGGCTACTTCCACTGGGATTGCTTAAAGTTTCTACATTCATTTGATGATGGCTGTTTGTAATTTCTTTGCCTAGCAGTGGTGTTTGATGAAAGATATGCTAAGTAAATAATTGTTTTATTTGTTTACAATTTTTCAGCTTGTGTGGGAATTTAAACATCCTGATGGCATGACAGTTAACGAGATGGATGCTGCTGGAGATGGTGAGGACTGTTAATGATATTCTGATTGGTGATTTATTCCTATTGAAATGGAAAGAAATCTCTCCCTTCCCATAAACTGATGTGACTGAATGCATTTTTCCTCATATTTCTGTTATAGGTGATCTTTTGGTGATTTTGGATTTACGTCCTGATGAGTCATTGTTTGAAGCTGGTGTTGCACGTGAGGTAAAAAAATCATCATGCTAATGACACCATTTATTCTAGTTAAAAAAAAATGTGGTACTTTTGTCTTCTTTCAGTTCTTATCAATTAGCAATTGAGTTTGTGGAAATATGATGATCTATATTGGTTGATGATGTCAGATTATGGTCAACTAAATTTGTTTCTTTGATATGAGGAAAGCTACTTAAAAAAGTTTATGGTACTTAATTCTTTGGAAATGCCAATATTTTAAAACTATTTCTGATGAATTGGAGTTTTTTAACTTAATTTATTGTAGGTTGTTAATAGAATTCAAAAATTACGAAAGAAAGCTGGCCTTGAACCGACGGATATGGTGGAGGTCTATTTTGAGTCATGGATGAAGATAAGTCAGTCATCCAACAAGTTTTGAACTCACAGGTAGTTTGCCTTTTTTTGTTTTTCAAACAATTTATTAACTTTGCCTGTTCTTACTTCCTAAGTTTGCTTGAATGAGAATCTAATAACAATTTTTATGAGGACATAATGATCACTTGGTGAAATATTGAGGACATTTTACCTCATTTATACTATAATTATTAAATACCAATTACAGCTAAATCTCTTCCTAGAATTTTTTTTGCTGGAAATGGAGCTGCGTCTGCATCCTTGCACTTGTGTATGAGAGAGGTTGTTTGAGAAGAGAGTTTTTGTGCACTTGCATCATATATTTGTGAAAGATTTTGTTATTTGAGGGACAGTGCAAGTCCCCCCAAATAATGCACATGATTTGCATTGTTTGACCAGCGTTGTGATTCCCAGCTTCTCATAAATCTTAATTTGAATTGTGCTGTATTTAATAGCTTAAGGTTGTATCTCATGGCAGGAAAACTACATCAGGGATGCAATTGGATCTACATTGCTTTCTTCTGATATGATGCCGCTGCATGCAGTAAGTTTGATCAGTTCGAGTTTGAAATACCTTAATTCTGAATTAGCTTCTTAAAATTTTGATCTACAAAGTATAACAGCAAACCAATGTGTTCATGATCTTTACTTTTCTGAGATGATGTGAAAAGCGTCTGTTCCTACGATAGTGTTATCTGATGAGGTAATTTGCTGTATGCATATTCCTGAAGGACTAAATTTCTTAATCTTGCCTTAGCTGCTCATTCATTTCAAATCCTATCTTGTTAATAAACAGTATGGTCATCAGATGTGTGGTAACAAATAACAGTCAAGTGTTCCTGTTCTCATTGATAGGATTCCTGTGGCTTTATTCTTGTAACTTCCTATCCTATACCTTGTAGCTTAATGCTTGCAGTTTTATAGGCAGTAATTGGAGACCTGTGCTTGCAGTTTTTGTATATAATATAATTGGTACTATGTTTGAAATGAGATCAAATCTGTAGTGAACACACCTTGCTATGTATTTTTAGAAAGATATTACCCCCTGCCTCCCCCAAAAAAAAATATCCACCCTTTTTCCATTTGCATGATGGCAGCTTTTTGTCAGTGATTGTGCTTGTAGAATGTATGGGTTTCTTATTTTATCATTTTACTTCACAAAAATTGCAGGCTGTGCTTTGTGAAGAGAATTTCAAAGGCATCTCTAACACGTCATTTAAAATAAGCTTGGCCAGACCATCCCTATATTTCAAGTCAAATGCTATTCGGGCGTTATATGCAGGTTAAGCTGCGTTTTATCACATCATGTTGTTACCCAGCTGAAATCTCTCTCTCTTTCTCTTACTGCATTAATTGAATGGTTGCAGGAGATACAAAATTTGCAAAAAGTCTGCAGATTTACCTCCTATCAAGGGACCATTCCTCTTTGAAATCCGGGTTTCAACTAGGACATGGCAAGGTTTGTTTTCCTTATGAATCTATAATATAAATCAATGACATTCTAGCATGGTTGGTCACATGTGGCACTTTGTCTCAATTTTTATTCTTCCTTCCTTATTTTGCGTTTCAGATGAAAGTTGATTGCATTGAAAATCAGCCTGCTGTGGAAGTGACACTTGGAGAACACGTCTTCTTGACGGTGGGTGATTACTACTTGACAGAAAAAAAGGCCGTTTGATATTCCTTCTACTTTTCTGTGCCTCCTCTGGCCAATACAGGGGATCATACAATTTCACACAAACATGCAGCCAGCATAGCATGTGCCGTTGCTGATAGTTACTTATTTGTTGTACTGATACTAGAGTGAAAAAAAGAACTAATGCAATTTAATTTTTTTTATCAGAAAAATATTATAAGCGTGGTTGCTGTGAAGGATTTTAGATCTTAGTTGGAACCATTTTGGATGATGGTTTGAAGTATGTAGAAAAATGCATCACCATCTACCATGCATTGTATGAGAAGAAAGTAATGGGAAGCGCATTTACTTTAACGCAGTGTGATTAGGGAAAACCCTAGGAAAAGGGAAGTTCAAGAAACCCATCTTTCTTTCAATCAATTTAATAATTTCCGATAACCTGATATAAGGATTATACCGAAATTGAATAGACTGCTGTAGTTAAGGTTCCAGTAAAAAAGCAAGACCATGGTGCAGGTCCCACCACCAATGGCCATTTAATACCAAACCTCGGATTAAGCATATTTTCATCCCATGATATTAAAACTATCCAAAGCCTTGGACCTTTGACAGTCTCAAGAACAGAATCTAATGACCATTTATTCCCCAGGAATCCCTTACAACTGATAACTAGCAAATAAAGGCACTGCTTCGAATCAGGAGCCTCAACCTGAACTTGACAGAGCTTCCTCACAATTTTCTGCTTCAGAACCCTCTGCTTCTTCCTCAGAAAAACTGGGAGCTTTTGGAATCAATCCAAGGATTTTGAACATGAGTTGATCAGCGTCAAAATCATTGTTAGGAGTTGTCAACAGCTTCTCACCAGTGAAGATAGAATTGGCGCCAGCAAGAAAACACAATGCCTGCTCAGGCATGGAGAAACGAACTCTGCCAGCTGACAACCTAACCATTGATTTTGGCATGACAATACGAGCAGTGGCAATCATCCGAATCATCTCCCATATTTCGACAGGCTGAACAAGTGATGAGAAATATTAAGGATGCCATTGATTCTCAAACTCGCTAAGAAATGCTAATGCATTGATTGAGTCATTAAAACACGCAAAGGATATCTAGCCTAAATATAGGGTGTACCCTTAAGGATTCAATATATTTCAATTTCAGCATATTTACAATCCATAAGAAGTATCAGAATAACATAAGATGCTTGCATCGAGACTTGCACTTATTTTTACAGCCGGGATTGCCATGTACTCCAGCTCTTCATTTTCCATGAAGTTGTCCAACAAATGTATGACGGATACAGGCATGGAGGTCCAACCCTCCAGATATATGGAAAAACTTAAAAAGAAGTTGAACGTACCCGTGTCGGACACAAACCCTTATCCGACACTTACCCCCGAGTCCAGTAACATAGGTCCTAGCATATACAAAACCAGAGCAAATGATGCATTCTAAAGAAAATAATGTCAAACTGGACATGGTCCCCAAAATTATACATATGCAATGTTCTTTATTAATGAAGAAAAAATTTATAGTAGTACTGAATGTAAACAAAGAAAATGTCAGGCCAAAAATAGAAACACCAAGAAAGTGAAGAAACAACTACACGGCGGAGCAGCTGCAGTAATATTTCATAGTGAGTCCAGAGGCAGAGCTTTAGAGTGAACCAGACAATGGTTAGACATGCAGTTTAGAAATGTTCTAGTTCCTTTTTTCTCTCTTATGGTAGAAATGTTCTCATCAAACATGGAGTTTGTTAAAAACATGAACAAAGAAGTTGAATAGAGTAGAAAGAGAAAATAAGTTTTAGCAAGAGCAACAGAATATGGACGAGAAGAAATTTATACTACAAAAGTATTCTTTCCTAATATCTAAAGTTGGGAGAGGGGGGATATGAAACACCATGCTGGAGGAGAAACATGGCTACTGCAGAGGCTATGCCTCAGATACTAAAGGTCCTATTAATATATTGGTCCTAGGGTATCAACCAAAAAATGCTAAAACCACGAGGAATCAAACAGAAAACCAACAACCTATACCAAATAAAAGTTTTATTGACTGCAAGCTGTTTACTTCTATCTGTATCACAATAATTTAGCAAAAAGTTCTGTTGCATACATCATAGGATCTGTACTAGATCTGTACTAGGCAACTAAAAATTAACTGAACCATTAAAGCAATAAAGAGAAAAACAAGGAAAAACAAGAAGAATGATGAAGTATCAATAAAAATTGTCAATGCTAGTGGTATGTGTTATTTGTCAAAGTTAGAATTACCTTTTGATCTTGAAGAGGCGTGCCTTTCACTGCAACCAAGGCATTAATGGGAACACTCTCTGGGTGACTGGGGAGCGTTGCCAATGTGTGCAACAAACCAACCCGGTCCTCTGCTGCTTCTCCAAGCCCTATAATTCCACCTGTTAACAGAGAAGTAAATTATCATTCTTTCCCCTTGAAGAAAATGCAAAAGTAAAATTTATGAGATAAAACTCAGGATAAATAGAAGCTTAATAATATGAATCATCCAGAGGTTGGGATAACATTGCTAAAATTACTCAAAAAGATATTTCAGAATTGACCTTCTTCTGCACATATATCTAAGAATATGACAGCTTCAAAAAGAGACCTTTCAATAAGCAAAAGTTTTCCAGCAAGAATAAACTTTATCTTTTAAATGGTGAAAAAACAAATATCTGCCAAACCAGAAACTCAGTTGATCTTTCTCACCACCTCCACAAAATGACCAAATAAATCAGTTTTTCTCCTTTCTACATCAGTTGAACTTTCTCAAGAGGAAGATAATAAAGAAGATAAAGATGTTTGGATATTATTAACGTATATAGGGCTAGATGACTAGATAACAAATCATACGTTGAGTGAATGCTTTCAGTTATAATATATTACAAAGTTTAACCAACAACCTGAACAGACATTAATTCCCGCTTCACGGACATGTTGAAGGGTTTCCAACCGCTCATCATAAGTTCTTGTTGTAATAATGTTTGGGTAATATTCTCTTGAGGTATCAAGATTATGGTTGTAAGCTGTAAGACCTGCCTTCTTGAGTTCAAGAGCCTGCTGCTTCTCTAACATGCCCAAAGTGCAACACACCTCCATCCCCATATCCCTGGTACAGAGTAGACACTTAAAATACCATTAGACATTTGATCGACAAGCAGAAACACTTTAGAAACAAATGTTAATTAGACAACGATGTGATCAAAAATTGTAAAAATGTTATTTAGAAAATAGCAGAAAAAAGGAAGGAAAATCCTTAAAAGAATGCCATTGACAATATACTAACCTCAGCATCCTACAAAAGTATATATATACTAAATTGGGAAGAGAAAATAAAATTTACAGAAAAATGTTTTTCAATGGAGATTGTTTGCTTTTTCTCGCTTTTGAGGAAGATTTAAATAACAAAAGGAGATGATGTTCTGGCTTTTGAAAGTGTTAATCCAACATGGACTTAACTTCACATTATTACTCGGGCCAGGAACCATGAATTCTACGGCAAGAATGCATAGGCACAGAAATTAATTATTTTAAAACAAAAAAATGTAAAGAAAATCAATCAGTAGCAGATGATTAAAGAAAACACAACTTTCATGAGGAAGACAAGCATCTTACCAATTGTTTTCAAAACTTTCAGAATTAAAAATTCACAAAACCAAATCCAACCTTGAAATGTATAATATAAGCCAGGCCACAAAAATCATATTATACAAATCAATTAAACAAGCTCCGACTTTCTCCAATAAGCAATCTGACATCAATGATGCTTTAGTACCTAATGTCTTTTACATATTCAAGAATTTGGTTGAAGTTAGTTTTCCTTCCTACTGTGTCTCTCCATGCAGCACCCATGCAAAAACGTGTACTACCAGCCTCCTTTGCCTGCCAAAAATATACAAATAACTGCAAATCATGATAAAAGAAGTATAACATGTGAATCACAGCTCAAGGTATATTAGATAGTAGTTTATACATACTATTTTTATAGTAGCCGAAGACCGTAATTAACTAACATGATGCAGGTAGAGGAATTCTATTATTTTCTCCATCTAATAAGTTGCCAGTTATATCAGTTAATAACTCGACTAAATACCAATGAAATAACACAAAAGTGGAAACCAGTGCTTTTCTCTAGAAAAAGGCGTGGGTGAGGTGTGGGAGAAGAAGCTCAAATTTGGTCTGCAAAATAATGTGAAGCACACATAATTCAGCTGCACGGCACAAGAATTAAATTAGAGGAAGCATCTAAACCTAAACCAGATGAATTCTCCAGTTAAACAGTGGTGATAACATCTTGCATTGCAAAGTTACAACTTACACTGCAATAAAGATATCGTGTCACAAGTTATATACTGTTAACCATCATTGCGGCAGTGCAGTACCAATTTATGCATAAAGGAAAAACAATTGCAATCCCTAAATATCAAGTCAAAACTAACCATTCTCGACTAGTTTCAAATTAGAAAGATTTTTAAGCAGATTTAGAATGCTCAAACCGAACGCAAAGACTGAAGAGAGACAAAGCTGGTAACCTGTTTAGCTGCCTGCATTACGGCTTCCTTGGTCATAAGCTTTTGGGCCTTTAGCCCTGTATGATACCTAGAGGATTGAGGACAATATGAACAATCCTCGCTACATCCACCAGTCTTGATTGAGAGGAGGGTACACTGCTGCACCTCTCTAAAGTTATGAGCATATCTGTGAACTTGAGCCTAAAATAGCAAAAATATATCCTCTAGTCAAATTGATTAGGCGCATGTGATAGGTGAAGATAAGAAACAGTAAATGTAAGTAAAATTGCGATAAAAATTAAAAAACAAAAAAAAAAAAAAAGAACATCCGGCTACAAATGAAGCTATGTCATGAAATTGGATTTAGTGATTGGGAGCAACAAAGAGAGCGGTATATGCATGAGAGAGAAAGAGAGAAACAGACTCCGTGGAAAAGGAGATCAAGAACAGGAGAATCGTGGATGGACTTGATCTGTTGGCGTGTCCAGTCGTTTCTAGGACCTTGTCGGATAGTTCTCTCAGCTTCAACAGCCGCAGCCGATGCTGTAGTAGAGTAGTAACTACAACTTCTAAGCAGCAGCTGAGAAGTAGGGGATCGAATGGACAACATTTTTGTCTTTGGTTTTGTGGGTCAAGTAGTTAATAGAGTTGAAGAAGTTCGATAGTTGTCGTATAAAAGTGTAGATTTTCCTTTCCTTTTGGGGAGAAAAAGGAAGAGAAGAAGGAAAATGAAGGACCGAGGCGAGGCCTTTCCTTTGCAGACGTGTTATTACTCCTCTCTTCTTCTCTTCACACTAGACAACTTCCTTCCCACTACGGTCTACCACCAACCATTCGTCTCTCACACAGACAGAGGAGGAGTCAGGTAACCTAACTTCACTTATGTCATGTATTGTTGTTAACGTTGGGATTTCCGCTTCTTTGGTGGACCCACCAATCCAACGGCCCATGTCATATCTTAATCAAACTTTCCTAATTACGCGGACTTTTTAAATTAATGAATAAATTTATTTATTTACTTATCAGGAATAGAAAACAAAGGGCTTTCCTTATTCATTCTCGTGTTTTCTCAGTCTGCAAAAGGTGCAAAAGTGCGACGAGGATGAGCGGCAGCAACAACATAAACTCGGTTTTCTACGCGGGGTCCTATCATCCCATTCAAGCGGGCAGCATCGACGGCACCGACATCCTCCCCCACGATAACGCCGTTTATCGAGCTCTTCTCTGCTCCAATGCTGCCCTCTGTATTTCTCTCACTTTTCCCAATCCTTTTTCAAAAAGTTTTCCCTTTCTTTTTGGTTTATTCATTAATTAATTGCAGATGACCCTGTGGGTGACCCCAAGCTCATTGGTGATCCTTACCGCACCATCTTCGTCGGTCGCCTCTCTCACTTAACCACCGAATACGCTCTCCGCAAGGTCCCGAACCCTTTTTTCTTCTTTGGTTTTGCGATTCAACCGATAAACTTATTGTGATTGCGTTGTTGTATGTGTTTGGGTGTTTCAGGCTATGAGCAAATATGGCCGAGTCAAAAACTTGCGCTTAATCCGCCATATCGGTAACATTTTCGGGTTTTTATTTATCTTCTCATTGTTCCAATTTAGTTACTGCTATTTTTACTTGATCATTCTTTAGCTAAACATCGCATGAAAGTTACATTGTTTCTTTTAATCCTTATTAGTTGTGAAATACTACTAGTTTTTGCATATATTATGAGATAATGGTTCAACGACACTTAAACCTTCTATTTTCTTCACATTAACTTTTTTTTTTTCCTTTATCTATACACTCTCATGCAATTGGCATCTCTGTTCTTTAAATTCTAGCTTGAGGGATGCATTGGCATTTAATTAATTTATCTATTTTGGCTCTTTCATTGCAGTAACTGGTGCCTCCCGGGGTTATGCTTTTGTTGAGTTTGACACTAAGAGAGAAATGCGTCGTGCATATCAGGTACTCAATATTCATGTTCTTTCTTGTTTCTTAGTTACAAATGCTTATTTTCTATTGCCTTCTCTTTATTAGCCTAATTTATTATGCTTATCTTCCAGGGATGTAATTTTGCCTCTATAGTATACTTATACTACTTTGTTTTTGCTCTCATTCTTTATTTCATGCTTCAAGTTAATTTCTTTCATATGTCAATGTAGCTGGCCTCCATAATATACTACAAGCAAACCAAGTTGTACTCTGAAAACATGTCTTATCAATAGTTTTAGTTTAGTCAGAGAGATTTACCATCCATAACATCTTTAATTTTAATTTTATAGATTAAAAGTGCGAACAAGTATGAAGAAGTCATCTTAATGTCACTGCTTGATTTTCTACTTGGAAATCCATACTAGTGATGATTACTGCATTGCAGGATGCTCACCATTCAATTATTGATGGCGCTGAAATTATAGTTGATTATAACAGGCAACTGTTAATGCCTGGGTGGATTCCTAGAAGATTAGGTCAGTCCAAAATTTCTCTTCTTTTTCCATTTCTTGCATGTGTGGATGGTCACCAATAATAACAGGTTTTCATAATTCCCAACAGGAGGAGGTCTTGGTGGTAAAAAAGAGTCAGGACAACTTCGTTTTGGAGGACGAGAAAGACCATTTAGAGCTCCCTTGTAGGCACCATCCTTCCCATCAGTTCTGTGCATATTTTGATGTGTTAAGTTATCTGGTAGTCTTTACACTGTATGGTTCTTGTACATTTTGAATTTTCATCATCAAAACTGCTTCCTATTTATCATTATCTTTGTTTACTATGTTTTTTCTGGATTTCAGTTAAATAAGCAAATGGTTAGATGATACATTCTATGCCAAGTTTCAGGATTTTTATGTAGTTTTTGGGTTCATTATGGTGCTAGAGTGAAAAACTAATATTCCTATATATTTTCAAACTAATACATTCTATCCAAAAGTTTCTGTTTGCTATGGCACTGCTCATTCTCTATTCCCCCTTGAAAACCAGGCGACCGATTCCCTATGAAGAATTGAAAAAACTTGGCATTCCTCCTCCACCTGAAGGAAGATACATGTCCCGCTTTCAGGTAGTCCCTTTCACCTTACTTTTGTACAAAATGTTCAAACCCTGTGCACATATTGCAAAGGCACATGCTAAAGTGGGCCAAAATATGTATTGGAAATACATTGTTGCATGAGTCTTGCTACCATGCGTGATTTTTTTACTCGTAAATTCTCTTTGCTTCCTGAATTTGTTTAGAGTTATTGGTGTTGCTAACTTTTATTGTATTTTCTTTGTTGCTTTCAAATTACAAAGATTTTAGGGTCTTGAATCTTCTCCCAACTGGTTTACGTACTTTTATGTGTTTTTGTTTTGGGGAGGGGGGGTTTGCGATCCCTGTTCTTATATTTGGAAAGACCCTTGAGGCATTAACCTGGCAGATCCAGCCTAACCTGAGAGAACATTTTCATTAATGATATGATTTTGTCCACATGTGCTTTTAGGTCCCATCACCCCCTCAAAAACAAAGGAGGTCAATGGAGAAGGAAGAATATCCTCACAAGAGGAGCTCGTGCTCTGTGGACAGAGAAGAATTCTCCCAAAGAAGTAGCTCTATGGAGAGGGATGAACACAAATGGACAGCAGGGGGACAGCAAGAAGACTCCATCAAAAGGAGTTGTGTGAAGGAAGAATGCCAACATGGAAAAAGCTCTATGGATGGGTCAGAGTTTTCTCAGAAAAGGATTCCTATAGAGAGGGGGGACCACCATCATAAGTGGAGTTCTGTGGACAGAGAAGAGCACTCTGACTCCAGGAACACTGCAGGAGGGGGAGAAATCTCTCGGAAAAGGAGCTCTAGGGATAACGAAGAACGCCCTAGCAAGCGCCACAGACATCACAGCCGGTCCAATCACTAAACAAGGTCCCCTTTTGCAGATCTGCTGCTACACCAATTGCTCCAGTTGACATGAGATAGGGTACCGATGCAAAGATCATTCTTGCTTTTGTTGACTTAAAACTGCTGATGAGGTTTTTTGCTGTTTTCTAATCACTAGCTGAAATACAAGAATTGTTCTGACTGCAAATTAAAGTTTTTTGTATTAAGGCGAATTATTGTAGTTGTGTCCTCCCTCCCATTCAAGGATGCCAAGGAAAATATGTTTCCCTTATTATTGATGCATTTGGAGAATGCATTTTAGTTGCATTGTAAAATAAAGTTCCATTTCTATGCTATTTTATTTGATGAGTGAAGCTCATGTCTGCTACCACCAAATCCAATTTCCAATAGACAACGATTGATTAAAACAGAGAGACGATGTCTTTCCTTGAATCGTTTTCCATGTTTGTTGTTTCTATCACAAATGGAGATTCGTCAATGATGCTTCTTTGATACTGATACCTTTCACAAAATAAAGAGAAGGAACAAAGCAACTAGAAATAATTAACTAAATGGGGACGAATGTAGAAGTGCGACTTACACGGCCTAAAGAACAAGTATTATCAAATCAATGGCTTCACAGGTGGTCCAACTAGTTACAGCGTTTTTTGACAATACCCCATTCCAACCACCAAAAATAGAAAAGGGGGAAATACACATTGGAATCAAACAAATGTATACATTTTGAAAGCTGAATTCTTCATTTCTACAAAAACTAATCTCATCAACGAAATTCACCATTAAGATCCATCTCTTGTCTGATAAGAGTTGCTCATAAATTAACGAAGAAAAAGAGGAACCAGCAAAGCCCCAGGAGTGTACAATTGAAACTATTTGAATTCGTTATGCTATACAAGACTTGATAGAGAGGTTCTAGCCTACAACCTGCGAGGGTTTAAAGTTTTTCCAAGGCTCCATACTACAAATACTATATAAAATCAGTATGAATCTTCAGTTAAACAAGCAAGCTGGCAGTGCCCAGTTTTTAACCACTTCCGGCAAACTCATCAAGCAGCAAAGGCCTGGATATTGGCTGAAGCAGATTGTTTGTGACTGGCACCCACAACTAACAGCTAGTTCATTGATGTCAGATTCTCATGCCAGCACTAATATGTCAATGTTGAAAGACGCAGTTCGATTTGGGCTCCATTGTCACTCAGGCAGCAAAGTTGACGCCTGGATTGAGGGAGAACATGATCAAAAGATCAAAAGTAAAGAAGAAAGTAAACAAACAGATAATGAAAATTGACATTGATTATAAAACCCACAAAAGATATTATTATGTCTTATGTTTTCCAAATGCATCACAGAAAATTGATAATATACTATGTTTAACGGAAGAATACATATGAATAATGTTGTTGATAACAATAATTACACTCAAGGAAACACACAAAAAGAAATAGTCCACGAAGAAATTTCACATACATACACTCATTTTCTCAAAATGCATACTAACAATTCAGCATATGTGGTTAACAGTGGCATAATACAAATGACTATAAAAGAAAATCACAAAATTGTTAAATTATTTGGTAGAAAAGGAAAAAGGAAAATAAAAAATGAGCCATAACCAATTCAGAAGTTTGAAATGTTTGACGTTTTTTTCTTTTTTACCTATCCCTCCAGAGATTTAAGCACTACTACTTGACTAAAGAAGCCAGTAAGAAAAGAATATAGTAATAACCAGGTTTTGTTGTATAGACTATCTCTCCTGGCTACATTACCTACTCAGATAACTTTTTTATGTTTTGTAAGAATTATTAGACAGCTTTCCATATGAAGATCACCAGTTCAAATCAAGTTTCCACAAATGATCCTCTCAACTTCAAAGTGTAGCTCTTCTTTTTTCTCATCGAAAAAGATCACCAGAAGCTTGTTATGAAAAAGATACAAAAGAAAATGATTCCTGCATCTTGACACCAAAAGACACAATAAAATTTAGAAGCAGGGACGGGAAGCATCAATAGCAAACTTATAATTAAGTCTTGGCACAAGAATAGGAAGCATCAAATATGAGATGAAAATAGAGGAACTTAAAAGGCTATAAGGTGCGTAAACAGAGCCCTCATAAATTTTTCCAAAATTTGCTCAAAAATTATCTCACCTTCGATTTTTTTCGTTGATCCTCACTAATGGTTGTCGCATCTGCAGTAGCTGAGAGTAAGGTTTAGCTAGCACTTTCTTCCTCGATAGTAGCTTTACTTGTGATTCCCTTTGGGGCAGCTCTTCTTTTGGCTTGGATTTGATGTACGTATTCTGCCACTATGACATGAAACTTAGAAGCAAGCTTACTTGAGGAGGAAACGTTTAGACCTGCTTTCTTCAAGGCCCTGTTAACATGTTTCTGAGCCTTTTGGAAGTGAACCGCACAGAGAGAAGGAATGGTGGATCTGAGAATGGGCTTTCCACATGTTATAGGTCCGGCATGAGCACTACACAAATTCATAATAAAATTTATAAATCAATACATCAGTTCTAAAAAAATAACCTAATTTCCTTGATGAAAAAGGGCAAATTTTGTAAAAAAAAAAAAAAAAAAAAGAGAGAAAGGAAAGGCCAAAATTGATGGCAGACATACCTCTTGATAACATATGTGCAAGCCTTATAAAGCTTCTGCTTTGAATCGGAGAGAATATGTAGATGGCAAAAACTAGTCAAAGCCATGGCCTTGAATTTACATCCAACAAACAAGCAGCGGTGATTAATCTTAAAATCCAAACTAGAACTATTATTAACGTTAACGTTAATGCTGTTGTTGACGTTATCATCAGAGCCCTCAATGTTATTGGTAGGATTAGCATCAATCCCTCCACCGGGCTCTTGATTATGGTCGTGTTTGAAAGGACTGACACCGAACCTCCAATAATATTCTCTATACTGGATCCTGAGGTCTTCCATTAAAGCCCAATAATGATCTCGGTAACATTTAGAGAGTTGGTTGAGGTGCTGCAATCTGCGCTTGAGGAGTTCTTGGCGCGTGAGGTGTGAGGCCCGTGACAAAACCACGTCCTGGAAAAGCGTCGGAGAATTACTAACAAGCGACATCTTTGTATTGGAGGGGAGATTAGGGTTTTGAGCGTCGGAGTGGGTGTATGTGATGGGATTAGGGTTTTTGGACGGCTTTGATGAAAAGGGTTGCTGTTTGGACGCTGAAGTTGACATACTCATAATAACAGCCGTTTTACAGTTTGCAGCGAAAGAGAGTTGTAATGTTGTCTTCTGGATTTTTCTTGTTTTGTTTTTTTGGGTATGGTAGGAGTGAGATTAGCCTAGGATGAAATAGTAAAGTGTTAATGTTCGATCTTTCCCAGTAAAAACTAAAGCGCGGCGTGTTCGAATTCTGATCGCTTTTACGCGAGAAACTTTTCAGTCCTCTTAATTGGTGTTTGGATTAATTTTTGGACGAACTTTTTTCTCTACAGAAATTACGTGTATAGTTATCAAAATTTTAACATTTTAGTTTATATTATAAGCTTATTACACTCTTTAGATAAAATTATAAATTAATTTTTTAAATAAAATTTTATTACATTCTCATTTTATTTTTCAAAAATTTATAATATTATAAAAATTTTATATTATTTTACATTTATATTTTTATTTGATCTAATTTTTAATTGATTTTATTTATTTTTATTCGTAATTAACAGAAATATCTATTTATTCTATTTATGTCTTTCACTTAAAAATTTATGGTTTTATTTGTTTCATTTATTAAAAATATTAAAAAATTATCAATTCATTTTTTAATTTAAAAATATATATAAATAATAACAGGGCTCACAAGTTTTTCATTTCTAAAAAGATTAAATACATATTTGAATTTTAAATTTTATAATTTCTATCGTATTAATATATAAAGAATTTTTTTGTTATATTAATATTTGAATGTTTAAATTCATTATTATGTTAATACATAAGACTAATATCATTAGTCAATTTTATTAACATAACATTAATATTTAATAAGATATTGGCATATTTCTAAAATATTCAATCAATATCACATCATCAATCCCACATTATTTTTAAAAGAAAATTTTTAAAAATATTTTTTTAATTTTAAAAATTCTAAAATTTTTTTAAAATACTAAAAATTCTAAAATTTAAAGGAAATTCTAAAAATTTTTAAAAATTTCGAAAATTTTAAAAATTCTAAAATTATTTAAAATTCTAAAATTATTTCTAAAAAAATGAAAATTTTTCAAAAAACATTTAAAATTTTTTAAAAAATGCTAAAACTTTTTAAAAGTTTTTAAAGATTGTAAAAAATTTTAAAAATTCAAAAAATTGTTTAAAACCTCAAAAAAATTCAAAAACCATAAAAATAATTTTAAATAATTCCAAACTATTTTTTAAAATTCTGAAAAATTTTTAAAATATTTTAAAATTTACCAAAAGGTTTTAATTTCAAAAAATTAATAAAATCTTTAAATTTAAAAAAAAATTAATGTTCAAAAAAATTTTTAATTTTCTTTAAAATTTTGAAATTTTCTAAAATTTTTTATAAATTTTAAAATTTTCTAAAAAATTTTTATAAATTATACAAAATATCATTATATGAAAATTTTTAAAATTTTCAAAAATTTTTTAAAAAATCAAAAAAACTTATAAAAATTAAATTTTCTTATAGTTTAAAAAAATACAAAAATATAAAAAATGGAAGAAAAAAAAAGAAAAAATCTAGAAACTTTTAAAATTTTTGGAAAAATTAAATAATTTCAAATTTTTGCAACGTTCTTTAAAAATAAAAGAAAACTAAAAAAAAAACTTAAAATTTTGATAAAATTTCAAAATTTTAAAATAAAATTTTAAAAATTCAAAAAAATATATAAAAAATTCAAATTGTAAGATTAAAATATAAGAAAAAATTTTTAAAATTTTTTAAAATTTTTTAAAAAGTATTATACTTTTTCAAAATATTTTTTATTTTTTATTTTAGTTTTTTCAATTTCTTTTTTTATTTTAACAAATTTTTAAATTTTATTAAAATTGTCATTTTTTGTTTTTGTTATTCTTTTGAATTTTTTGAATTTTTTTTAAATTTTAAAATTTTTTGAAAATATTTAAGTTTCCTTAACTCTTTTTGAATTTTTTAAAATTTTTCAGAATTTTTAGCACATTTAACATTTTTTTAAATTTATAAACTTTTTAAAATTTTTTCAATTTTTCTAAATTTTAAAAGTTTTTAGAATTTTTTAAAATTTTTCAGAATTTTTTAATTTTTTTTAATTTTTTAAAAAATTTTTGGAATTTTTTAACATTTTTTAGAAGTTTTTAGATTTTTTATTTGAATTTTAATTTTTTTGAATTTTCAAAAAAAATTTATAATTATTTTATAATTTTTAAAAAAAATTAGATTTTATTAAATTTTTTTTGAATTTTTTTGAATTTTTTACTTTTTAAATTTTTTATTTTTTATAATTTTTTAGAATTTTTAAAAAATTTTTCTTTTAAAGATAATATGACATTAATGATGTGGTACTAATTAGTCTTATTTAACACATTTTAGTATCTTATTGGATGTTCATACTATATCAATAAAATTGTCTAAATGCGTTAGCTTCAAATACGATCGTTAAGAATGACAACAGGTCAAGTCGGATGAATTTTTGCTCATCTTAAACTCAATCCTACTTGAGGAATTTTTTATTTTTTTCATACCTAAACCTGACAAGATATTGTATGAATCGTATCCGACTCGATTTAATCTGAAATTAATAAAATATTATTTTTAATATAAATATAAAATTAAATAATTAATTAAAAAATAATTTTTTATACATAACAGATCAGATTGAATTTATCTAAAACCCGACCTTGACTCAACTTTGATTTTTTTTAATATTATTCATTTTAAAAAAATTTATGAGATCGAGTAGAATTAAAACCTACAGGAAGCGGATTGGGCTGCCAACTTTATCTACCATGATAAGGGATTTGAACATTCAAATTCCAAAGTAAAAAAAGTTTTTACATACCAATATGATAAAATTATAAAATTCAAGGGTTAAATATATATTTAACACTTTTTTTAAATTTTCCGCTTCTTGTTTACCTTACTAGTTGTTCCAGTCACTAAGGTTTCGAGTGATATCTGCTGCAGTAGGAAACAGAAAAACCAAAAACACACAGATTTAACATACAACCCTTTGACTTCAAAATTCCGAAGCCATATCCATTTTTGTAGCATGCAATTAGATAATTAAATTTGATAATTTAAAACATGAAATAATAATACAATATAAAAATAATACAATTTAAAATTTTAATAAAATTATATACGAATTTAACAAAACAAAAAATATATATTTTATATTTTTCTGTTAACATAAATTGTGACAAATTTTATAAAAAAAAAAAAAAACAACATAAATACACAAATTTTTAATATTTTCCATAATATAAGTACTCTAATTGCCAAGTCCACAAGCAATATATGGCTTTCAAAGCAACACGTTTCAAATTCAGGATACAGAAGAACAAAATGGAAGCAAGGAGTAAAGAAGAGACTAATGGAATAAGCAAAGATGGAAAACAAGTGCAAATACTTTCCAAAATTGAAATGCATTTAAAGTATCTAATTATTCGAATGAATTCTTAGCCAGAAATAAAAATAAACACTCAGAGTGTTACACACAACCGGTACCATGGACTTTTTATTCTCTAACCTTTACTTCAGGCATCACTTTACCAAATACTTAACAATTAGTATACAATTATATTAAAAAGACAATTATCAAGTCCTATTGAATCTTTACTTTCTTCAACCTGTACATTAAGGATTCTATGGATTTTTGTATTCTGTTGCCATCTTTCTGCTTCAATGCCTGAGACGCCTGATGTAAACTCTGAATCCCACGACCCAAACTGGCAATTGAGGGTGCAGCAGGAAGAGACTCAGCAACACATTCAATACCATCTCCATATACAAGCAAGCTCGTGCAAGTTGCAATGCTACACCCAAAAGTAGCCCATGGCAGGACACCAATTGGCTGCACCCTCCTTTTCCTCATTATTTCATAGAAAGCTGTTCTCATGGCTGAAAAGCTGGTCTTTTCAGCTGAGGCAATAACGCCATGGACCACTGTCCTGATTTTCTCAGCAGAAGCAACTGCCTTGAAGAGAGATGAATTTGCTCCAGAACTTGCAAGTCCAGGGGCTACCAATTTTGATGGACCAAGAGTTTTACCAAGCGCAATTGCTACTACCTTCTGGGTCTGAGTCATAACTAGTTTCACTGAAGCAGGAACATTCAATGTCACAACCTTCATGAAGGTTGATGCAGGAATAACTTTAGAGATAGATGAAGCTCCCAAAACAGCCGTTGCACCAGCACCTACTGCCACCACAGGTTTATTGGATAACAACCGCTTCTTGTCAGTGTGGTTTGAGGCTTCCTTATCTCCATCACCTACACCATCTGTTACAAGATGGGCAACTAAATCCTTGACCTCTAGAGGAACGGGAGTGTTCCAATTTGCCCTGAGACCGGCCAAGCTACTAGCATCCACAATGGCTACGACAGTCTTGAACTTCTTAGCCTGGCTTTGAAGAGCCTGTGCAAGTAGTGCATGCGACTTGTCCTCAACCGGGAGCTCTGCAAAAGCTATCTCAGATGTCTTTGCATTTCGTAATTTGTCAATGGGTAGCTGGCCAGCATTGTTAAGTGCAATTCTCAATGCTTCAACTGCAATTCTAAAGGTACAAACTTCAGATATTATCCCGGTATCCACAACTTCCCCTCTGTTTACATCCAAAAGCATTTTTTGTGAAAGTGCTAATGCTTTTCCAATTGAAGGAAGATCAACAAATATATCATGTAGATCCACAAGAAGTGGATAAATTGATTGTGCAAATGGTGGAGCCTCATAACTCCCTCTTGGCTGAATTTCATTTGAAGGCACCTCAGAAGCAGAACCTGATTCCAATAAATTTATATGTGAAGATAACAACTTCACCATCTGTGACTGAACATCACTGGTAATGCAGAACCTCCTAAAACTGGAAACTAGAACTGAAGTGCCTTTTTTTGGAACCAAACTACTGACCAGACCTTGAATTTTGCTCCCTGCCTCAACTTCCCTGGAGGGATCATGCACAAGAAATTTGTTGGTAAATGATGATTCAAGCACCAAAAAAGTTGAACCAACCTCCCTTGCTGCTCTCTTGGCAGCCAAGAAATGGCCATGAAAACCAACCCCAAATATCTCTCTCAAAACCAATTTGCCAGCCACATCCTCATACTGGTCCTTGTTAATCCTATCAAGAAAGCATCGTTTAAGCACTCCAAAAGAGGAAGTGGGAACAGCGTTATCAACAAGGTTGTGTTCAGATTGAATATCAGTGAGAGCTGTGTGATCAATCTGAACTATGACAGCATCGGGTTTAAGTTCCCCAATAAGACACTCCGCATCAGCAGCTGACCTCTCAGATAAATTTTGAGTGGAGAGTATGTAAATGACTGACTGAGAATCAGGATGGCTAACAGCAAAAACGAAATTTTTAGTGTGGTCGGGTATTGAAAGCTTGCGGACTAAGTCATGGGATGCTCTTAAATCGTCGAATTTGAACAATGAAAAGGGCCATAGAAATTGTAGCTTATAGAAGAACGCAAAGGCCATTGCACATTAACACTAATATTGTCGGTATGGTCAGACACAGAGAGAGAGAGAGGAGAGAGAGTCGAATGAATAGAGCAATCTTCCTAATTTTTCATTTGTTTTAGTTTTACTTGAATGAAAAAGGGTACAGGGAGAAGCCAAAATTCAATTTGAATCAGTTATGAATTACAAGAAACTATCTTGTTCAAAGGGAGAACATAAACCCTAAACTCCGATGAAGGTGAAGGGCAGAAACCAAAACAATAAATTACTAATCCTGGGCTAGCAATAGTATAAAAAATTTAAGAAACCAGTATAATGTCGGAAGAAATCAAATCTATGGAATTGGAGAGATGTCGGAAAAGTACCTGTCTGTTTTTTTTTTTTTTATGTTGCAGTTTACATAGAGAAGGAAATCGGATAGGCAAAATTAGTTGTTTGAATAGAAGACGGCTTCTTTCTCCGTCGCAGCTGCCAAGTGTAAGAGAAGGAGGGATCGGCTAACTGTTGTACGCAGATTTGCAGATTGCACAAGTCTCTGCTCTCTATCTGTTTGTAGGATTTCACACATGACATGAGTTTGATTCGTGTTTTGTAGCCTAGAACACATTGACAACCTCTGGCTCAGCAGAGTCAGGACTAGTGAAAGGGCTTTTCTTTTAAAGCATGATAGCCCTTTTACTAGTTATCATGCTTTAAAAGAAAAGCCCTTTCACTAGTCTTGACTCTGCTGAGCCAGAGGTTATATATATATATATATATTTATTTATTTATTTATTTATAAATTATTCTAATTTAATTTAAGTAAATTTTAAATTCATTTAAATTATTATTGAATTAAATTTGAATTTGAACAATTAAACTTATTAAATCAATTAAATTGCAACATTTTAATATTATTCGATTAATTTATTAACTTAATCTAATTTTTTTATTTTAATATATATTTTTATTTTTAATTATAAAATTATGATTCTAACCTTAAATTTATATATATACACCAAATCCTAACCTAAAACCCCGTCTATTGTTGTTCCTCCCTTGCCTTCACAATGGCACTATGCTTCATTTCCCTCTTTTTTTTCTTAAAATATCACACTATAAAAGAAAAATCCATAAAAATATAAATTTTTTTAAAAGGCAAATTGTTTCTCCCTCTCACTCTTTTGGTTTTTTCATAGGAAGAAAATCAAAGCATCTTTTTCTTAGATCTAGTTACCCATTTTGTGTTCAATTAAAACCCAAAAAGTTTTTTTCCCTTTTATGCTTGTTTCTTATTGCTATATTTATAGGTTCTAATTGAAATTTTGGTTTATTTTCTTTTAAGAATAATTTAGTTTATGGGTTTTGGTTGTTTTCATTGTTGTTATAATGGATCAATTCACAATTTGTTGTCTTTACTTCAAGAAAGTTAGTAATTTTGTTTTGTTTGGAATCAAATCTTGATTCTTAATTGTTGAATTTGATTAGTTTTTATGCTTTTTTTTTAATGCAAAAATTTAGATTTGTTGAGTTTTTCCTTAGTTCTTATGATTTCTCTTTTATTTTAATATATTAATTTAATTTAAATTTTTTTATTATGATTTGACCGAATTCAAGTTTGGCTTGATCTATACTTCGAATCAAGCTTAAACTTGAAAAATAATATTCAATCGAATTCGAATCGAGTTTCAAGTTTTAATTTTTATGTCAAATTTAAGTTCGAATATTTTAATGTACTCGCTCGGCTTGATCATACATTTTACCACACTTAGGTTAAAATTTTTTATTTTTAAAACAGAAATTAACCAAGAAGCAGTAGTTCATGGATTTTAGATTTTGAAGGAAAAAAAATTAAGAAAAGTAATATTGAAAGAGAGTGTGATTTTTGAATTTTTTTGACTTTATAGCATGTAAATTTTTTTATTTAGTTAGAAGAATATAAGATTACTTAATAAAGTCTTTTACTATATTATTATCATTAATGACAAGTGAATAAATAAATAATTTATTTAAATTTTTATTTATTTAATATGTAAATTATTTATTTAATATTTTTATTGAATTATTTAATTAAAAATTTTAAGTTTTATTGCACATATAAATATGTAATAATAATTATAAGTAATAATAAATTTTATCATAATATAACTTTTTTTCATATTTTCAACAAAGATAATGTTTTTAATTTTAAAAACGTTGTTTTTGTTGAAATTTAAGAATTCTTAAAAATATTTTTTTTATATTTTCTATAAAAATCATGCATTTATCTTAAAAACATAGTTTTTGTTAAATTTTAAAAAATAATTTTTTTTTATATTTTCAATATCAATTGTGTTTTTATCTTTAAAATATTGTCTTTATTGAATTATGAAGATTAAATAAAAAGCAACATATAAAATTACGATATTTCTGAGGTCAATAACATTGTTTATATAGTCTAATAATACAATTAAGTGAGTAAAAATAGAGCAAAATTTTCGCATTTCCTCTGAAAATCTTAAAAGAAAAAAAAAAGAGATGAGAGTTTTTTATTCTCTTTATCTTCTCCTTTTTTGACACTATAAGGAGTGAGAGATTCTTAATATGAGAGACTTTCTAAACTAAACTAAGGAGTCAGATAACAAAATGAGGGAAAGTGATTTTGCAAAATGTGATCTTGTGAAAAGCAATCACAACTAAATGCTTTCTTAAGTTTTTTAGTAGAAAGTATATGTATTTATTTGATTTGATTATTTGAATTTGAAACTTGTCTATAAAAATATAATAATTAATTGATAATTTTTTATTTTTTGTTAATTATTTGAAATATTTTTAATTATTTGAAAACAATTATATACTAATTCTATTATTATTGAATGAGATTATTCAATTTATTCAATTAATAAGTTATTTTTTTATTTTTTTATTCTTCTATTTACTATGGAATATTGTTGTGATTACCTTTCATGTCTATTTTAGCAATGACATATGATCTTGTTTCAACCGTATGCCTTCTTTTCTTTTCATACAATTTTCACCAACAACTTGGCTTATGTTTAGGCAATTTTTGTTAAACATTTTCTTTCAAAGAGAGAGAAATATTTGAAAATTATCATTTCTCTTTTGATGGTTTTTCATAGTACCTTTAGTTATACAACATCTTTGTTACATTTCATCTAAAAAAACATTTCTATTACTGCATTTTTGTTTCACTTTATGGCGCATTATATGGTTTAGTTTACTTTTTTAAGTGCTATTGACCTTGGATTTGAAAAAACCAACATCATGATAGAAATCCCTTCATGTATTTCAAATTTGACATTTTAAGTTTTTGAAACTTTTGGGCTTTTTGTAATCACCTAATAATGACTTCAGCTCTATTCTTGATCCAACCATTGCCCCACTAGTAAGTTTTATTGGAGATATATTATGAATTTTTTTCCTTAAAAGTAAAATATTATTTTATATAATTAGGCTAACCATTTAGAAATTGAACTAAATATAAGTTTAGCCTGAAAAAACTGTCTTATAAATTCATAGAAGAAATATAAACTCTGCCCACAAAAAAAAATCTTTTACAAATTTATAATCCACAAAACCTAATAAACTCATGTAGCTATACATTCATCACTTTCCTAATCTTTTAAGGATCCTTTTAATATAGGGGTTATATATAATACAATAATTTTTTTCAAACACATTTGGAAAAGAGTATTATATTTTGTTACATTTAAGTAGTAGTATTATACTATACTATACCATTTGGGTAGAAAGAATTGAGATAGACTTGAGCTTATTATTATCCAAACTCCAAATCAAGTCTAAAAGATTTTTTTTTTATCTACAAATCTAAGTACCTTTTTGAAAATGCATGTTACATTGTGATGATTTTTTTACCTCATACATTGCTTTTAATTCCATTTACATATTGATAGTAATAGCATATTTATCTATTATGTTATTGTGCACTTGTAACAGTATTATGTATTACCAGAAATAAACTCACATTTCGTTGGGAATGTTATTTTTTGTGACTTCTCAAAAAAAGATAACACTGTTTGAAGTGTAAAAAGAATATACAAATTTAGGTAAAGACAACTATATAAAACAATGATCTTGTTGTTTAGTTGCAAATTTGGATAATATAAACATAATAGTAGCTTAAACAAAATTATCGTTAAGGTACATAAGATGTAGCTCAAACTATATGGTTTAGAGTCATATCAAAAAGATAATAAATTAATTCTTACAAAACATAAAAAGAATTAATTAAATTTAGAAGTTAGCAACTTTGCTTTGATCTACATTTACGATTGATAATGACATTGAACTTTATTAGTTTAGTCATCTAAAAAAATCAATGATCTCTAAGCTTAAGTCAATTATTGACTAAAAACTTTTTCATCCTCTGAAGAATAATTTTGTTATAGTCAATGTATATGTAACAAATTTGCCATTGCTATGTTTTTTCAAAAATTTAAACAATAAATTATGTTGATACTTTCGGAGGTGTTTGATGTTGGGCAATGAAAAAACACACACAAACAACTCATAAATGGGAATTGATAATCAAAAGATCGAAAAGTTACAAAAATTATCTCTTAATTGATATTTTGAGAAAATATATAAAAAGTTCACTACCAGAATTAAATCATTAATAGATATAAAAAATTACCACCTAAAAGATATTAATCAAGGATACATAACTGAATAACTTACCGTTTAATGGAAATCTAGTTATCTACCAAAAAGATACAAAGTTTAGGGAATACAATCTTAAAGAAACTATATAATATTGGAAATATTAAATCAGAAGTTCTTTTTTTCTTTCTATCAAAAGGCTTAAAATAAATACTACAACTCGGAACAACCCTCCAAGTATATTTATTTACTTGATTTTTAAAATATGTGAAAGTTAATAGGAGGGTATTAACTAAATAAAGTAAATATGTTGGATTCTATTAAAAATGATTACTATCATGAATTATTCTTAAACTATAGTAAAATATTTAAAGTGATGCCTAACTTTTAAAAATCTTTAAATTATGAATCTGTTGACTAATGTCAACTTTGCATTACCGATGATATAATTTAGATAGAATAATGCCTAAAGAAGTATTACAAACATTATCACTATTGATTGTAACTCAAGTTATTAGCTATGAAAATTTTTTATTTGACTCAAAATAAAAATTAAATATTTTTGAAAAGAAACAAAAGTTAAATTTTATTTACTTGAAAGTAGATAAAATCTTTAGTAAAAAACAATGTAGCAATAATGTCATAACTTTTTAAAATAAACATAACTTATTATTATTAATGATATAAACATATAAGTATAGATGCAATTTTTTATTCATGTTTTATCATATATTTGTTATTTTATATTGTAGACAAATTTATTTTTTTATGATATGTCATTTCAACATTTAAATTTTAACTATGTTATAAATTTTGAAAGTTTAAATATAAATGTGCATAAAATATTAATTTTATGTGTTTACATATATTTAAGTAGATAAAATGATTTTGTGCATCACACAAGTCACAATGTATAGTAATATATAAAAGATAATGTTTAATCTTCCACAATAAGAAACAATAACCAAAGTGAGGGTAAAACGTTCCCCTAAAACAATCATGAAAGCTTAAACTATATAAAACTTGTTATTAATTGCTACCTCCATCAAAAAACAATAAAGTGAACAACATCTCATGTGATGAATACTTAAAACATCTTAAACTCTTCTTTTTGATAAACAAAAATAATCAAAAACTTGAAGTATGAAACACAAATTAAAGAACAATAGCTCAAATCAATCAACAAATACATGATAAATTATATTAAAAGATCAAAACCCCAACAAAGCAAATAAATCACTTTTAAACCAAAAACTCAAGTGTCTGCAATAGTTAACAAATTAATATTAAATGTCAATGATAACAAAAAAAAAAAAAAACAAACTACAAATGAAATATAGTTATAATATTTTGTTGTAAAAAAAGCATACATGATAAATGAATTTGAAAACTAAATAAAATTTGCCATTTCTTAACTTTTATTAAGAAACAGTCAAATGCAAAAAAGAACCTACAATCAAAGATTTAATCTTCTTAATTAGAGGATAAAATTTGTAAAAAAAAAAAAAAAACTCTCATTTACCATATTTAATCCACCAAAAAATAAAAAAAGAAAAAAATAACCTCATTAATAAAAATAAAAAACTCAAACAACAAAAACAAATGAATTATTAATAATTCCACCAACAATAACTTTTAAAACATTTAGAGTAAATTGAAATTAGTAACAAAACAAAAAAAAATTTACTAACCATTCTAATAACCTAACACCAAATTCAAGAATAATAAAAACAAAATTAAGGCAAAATCATAACCTTAAATACTTGCAAAAATAGAATGTAACAAAAAATAAAAATTTAATTACATTTTTAGTACCTAAAATTTGGATAAACAGACAAATTAATATCTAAAAAAACAAAGTGTACAATTTGCACTGGAACTTAAATAAAATGTATAACTTGCATGTTGAATTTTTCATAAAATGTATTATGTTAATTTAAACTCCATTTTGCTAACCATATCAACTTATATATGTGGTGTTTGACAAATAATATTGAATTATGTGTTCATTAGATATATTATCAACATCTTTTTTCAACAAAAAGATCTAAAAATAATTTTTTACCTAAACTGTAAAATTTGTTTAAGATCCATCAATTATTACTTGTCACATGGTATCTACATGATATTTTTACAAAATATTTTAACACTTTTATTTAACAAATAACATGATACTATATAAGCTAGTTAAATTAATAGTATTAGAATTTAGATTAAAATGATTCATTATTTAAAAGTTTAAGATGTAAATTATATATTTTATTTCTTTAGGTATCAATTTGTATTTTTTTTAAAGTTCAAGTATAAAAGCGTAATTAACTCAAAATTAAAATGATTTACAAAATAATAAGGAAAAAATAGAGCATGCAGTAAAGATAACTTAACAAATATTAAAACAAAAAAATTTCATATAAAAATTTAAAGCAATCAAAATTAAACAAAATACATAACATCATCCCTTTAAAAATTCACTCAAAAACTACCATAGAACAGAGTATAAGAAAAAAGTTTTAAAAATGTTAAAAAGATAAGTAAAAGAAAACGATACGGATGAGAATAAGAATAAATTATACTTTCAAAGAGTACCTTAAATTGATATGACCAAAACAGAAACTAATTAATTTTGCAAAAAAAAAAAATCATAGCATCTAATTAACTAAGTAGCCAATTAATCTTATATAATGAAAAATCACTTAATTAGTTTGTTCCAACCAAGTAAAACCAAGTCAACCATTAGAAAATCCAAAGCTAAATGAGAAAAAAAAAAAACCCATCATTGAATAATTAAAAAAATAAATGAAAAAAAGCAAAAAAAAAATTTCATAATAATACATTTCGCACATAAAGAAAAGTAAACTCTATTTCATATAATGAGGAAGGAAAAAACCAAATTTATTAAAATAAATTTATCACTATATATATATATATATCTGCATCAACAAGTTAGAACTCATTTATTCAATCTCAAAATCTAACAACTTAATATCATTTTTACAAAAGAAAAGTCCATGATTAAAAAAAAAAAAATAGCCAGAGCAACAAATGGAAGAAGGAAGAAAAACTTTATCATCCAAACCTAGTAAACTTTTTTGACCCCACTCTCTTAAAAGTTTTCATAATTAAAATTGTCCAACCTGGTAAAAATGTTGTTGTAGAAAAATAATTCATTTCCAAATATCAATCCATTTCCAAACATCCTCTATTCACTCTAGGCACTTTAATGTATTGAGAAATAATAAAGTAATAACAATAAAACAAGTTTCTTTTTCATTGGCTACCAATAAATTCTATCATTTTTTTTCTAAAATCAAATCTTTTGCTCATTTTTTTGTCCATCTCTAAAACTTAATAACCCTTCACTTATTTTCATCTAAGAGTAAAGAGAAGTAAAACAAAACTTTTAAAGGAAAGAGATTTAAAAAAAAAATCTAAAGAAAATGAAGTAAATATGATTTTTTACCCTACTAACAAAAAGAAAAATTATAAGTGTCAAACATTAAAAGACCTTACAGTCCATTTTATTTTTCATCTTGAAGAGGAAAACAAAACTTTTAAAGAATAAAAAAACAAAACTAAAGAAATTGAAGTAAAATTTGTTTTCCATCTTAGCAACAAAAGGAAAAATTATAGATGTTAGTCACTAAAAGGTTTCGTAGTCCATTTTATATATTAGTTAGATTTTTTGTTTAGATTCATATTAATTAGGTATCCTAACAAAGAATGCAATTATAAAATTATATATTATATTATCATTTTTTTTAAAAAGTAGGTAAATGACCAGCAATTCTAGGATAAAAAGAAAACATGATGAATTTGTAATATTGGATAGCAATTAGCAACTTTTCATGAAAATTTTTTCTTTGCCAAGTTTCATGAAAAATCTTTGTTATCCAATAAAAATATGGCAAAAGTGTCACAAAAGTTCTTGAGGTAAAATTTAATAATTACCCAATGTCTTATCGTTTTTCTTTAATCAATTAAACCTTACATATTTATTTTTATCAATTGAGTCCTTATTAAAAAAAAGTAAAAAAAATTTAATTATTTTTATCTAATTGAGAGCTTAATTGAATGAAAACATATATTTAAAAATTCAATTGATTCAAAATAAAAAATTCATGATTTGATTGATTATAATAAAATATCATAGGCTTAATGATTATTAAATTTTTGTTTGAAGACATTTTAGATCTTTTTGCCTAAAATTATTGTATTTTTTATAAATAAACAAATTGAACATATCTTCAAATAACATTAAGCATTTATTTATATTAACACAGCTCGAAGAAGCATATGGTGGGTTGATTCAATGAAAACACAAAATGGAGTGGAATTAATAAGAAGTGAGTTTAACAAACTTGCTTTTTGGTTTTAAAAAATTTCATAAATATTCTTTAAAGATTATTACTTTTTTGTTTTATTCTTTCATCTATTTTTTAGAAGTTTTAAACTTATGTTTTATTTAATATTTAATATTTTTATTTTTTATATTTTAAAATTATTTTTATGATTTTTTTTTATTTTTTGACATTAAAATTATGAAATTTTAATTTTATAAAAAGTTAAAATTTTAATATTAAATACATTAAAGTCAAAATTTTTTTAAAATTTCGTGAAAATCAATAACACAAATAAAATTTGGTGAAAGCCAATAAACCTAAAATATATTTGAGATAAAAGGAGTAATAATTTGAGGACATTTAAGATGGAGTAGAATTTGATTAAAGTTTCAACTTTTTTTACCATTAATTAAAATGCCCATTAATCTATGGAAAGAAAAAAGAAGTACGACAATTTGACTAAGATATCAAGCAAGATATAATTAGAGAAAAGAAGAAGAAAAAAAAGAATGCCAAATTGAAATGCTGATAAGTACTAGCTGAACTTAGGTAATTCATCGTATCAAATTCAAAACCATATGGTTGATTCGACATCAAAGCCTTACTTAAAAAGTACAACAACAGTGAACAAATACAAAGCGAAAGATACAGGTGAGCCGAAACCGAAAGCCTCGAAGACAGGTATGAGGCATGAAATGTTGGGGATTCCAATTGGCTCCGTCACCCTCATTCGAAGCGAAGTTCTGTTACCCATAATATTAGTACTACTAGTATTTTACTTTGACTTGCACCTCTTTCACACGCAACGCCTACACCTGATTGGTCTGTCAGCTTCTACTACCCCTTGTATCGTGTAAGTGAGAGTTGCGTCCTTTTCCGCTCCAAAAACCGTGTTTTGCATTCAAAGCAAGAATTGTTATTGTTTTTTAACTTTAAAATAGCTCTCTCTCTCTCTCTCTGCATATTCTTCGCATGATCCCATCTTCAAAGCGCTGCTGCTTTTTGGGATTTCAATTGCCAAGGATTTTTCTTATTGAATTTAATTTCTTTTCCAAATCTGATTGATACGAATCTCAATCTCATAGAGACAGAGACTGAGCTAAGCGGTAGGATAACCGATCTAGCTGCGTAATTTCGAGCTCGGCCGGCGCTTGATCTGGAGATGCCTTATTAGGACACACTAATTTGGTTGGCTTAATTGATCTCATTACATCATTCACATTTTTTTATTTTGCATTTTTCTTTCTTCTTTTTAAGCGTCATTTCCGCTCTCAACTTCCAAGATCTGATCTGATCTGATCTGATCTGTCTGCTATCCGATTATGTTTCCTAATTCCTAATTTAATTATTTCGTGAAGAAATAAAAGTTAATCTTGAGTTGGCAGGATTTGAATTTTGATTTATTTTAGTAGATGTTATTTGCTTCTATTGTTTGAATTTGCTTGTTAGGTTATAAGAATTCAGCTAATCATTGTTGAGCGTGGATCCGCCGTTATTATATTAATGATAACCATTAAATTTGGAATGCAATTTTTACTAGGGTCCTGCCTGAATCTATCGGATCTATCTGGAAAACAATTTACATGGCTTAACTGGCTATGCTAACGGCAATCAGAATAAGCTATATCTATGCCTAGTTAGTTCTGCTGATTTTCATATTTTTATATTATGACCGAACTTTGGCATCCACATTCAACTTTTCTTCAAAATGTGAACTAGATTTTGCATTTCCCCATTTTTTTTGTTTGTTTGGGTGTTAGTGTATGATGTTTCCGTGCCTAAATTACTTGGACTTGCCTTACTGTTTGTTGTCTCCTTATTTTATTGTGTATAGTTGTGATAGTTTTGGGGCAAACCAATGCAAAACGGGATGATAGAATGCAGTGTCTGCCATTCGAAGTTGGTTTCCCCAACTACCAGAGGTGTGTCTAGGGCTTATGACCGCCACAAAAGCAGGGTATCATCAAAGCAACGTGCCCTTAATGTCCTCTTAGTTGTTGGTGATTGTGTTCTGGTTGGTTTCCAGGTAATTCATTATCTATTTCTGCTTTTATTTCATTTTTTTTAATAATCATACTTATTTGTCTGTTACCGACCCCTTCATCAATTTGTTGCAATATCTATTCTGCAATTAGGCATTTTAGCTTGTCATGGTTTGCTTGCAACTCTACTTAATCTTGATTCTTCACATGTATAATATTCTCTTTTTCTGCCAGCCTATTTTGGTTTATATGTCCAAGGTGGATGGGCGCTTCATGTTTAGCCCCATTAGTGTTAACTTTTTGACGGAGGCTGCAAAGGTTCTATTTGCAGTTGTTATGCTTATTTTACAGGTACATGCAAATTATTTCTTCAATGGTTAATTTGTTTTTCTTCCTTTGATTCAACCTTTCTACTTGGATTTATTGGGGTTGAGCTTTATAAGGTGAATAGGGTGTGCCCCCATTAAATTGACCTAATGCTTGTTGAACTTTGTATGGTTCTATAATGTGACCGCAAATAGATTCTTTGAGTGCATGTTGTATGTGTGCTGACGGGGGAAAAAGGGGGGGGGGGAATATTTGGACGTAGGACATAAATGATCTCTTTTTTTTTGCAATAAATGATCCTTTTAGCAATCTCATTAAAACCATTTTTACATGCCTACAGTCTAGACGTCAGCAAGTTGGCGAAAAGCCCCTTCTGTCAATTTCCACATTTATGCAGGTACGAATTTGTTAACGACATGCAGGATTTATACTTGAGTTGGATTAGTGGGATAAGTGGTAATAGTAAAAGTCTATAAGTTTAAAATTTTTATTTGAAGCTACTGATTGCCTAATTCAGTATGATTTTACACATAAAACATGTCTACTGGATACAAAACACATTTTACTATTCTTGGCACCAAGAGGTGTAATTTTGACATGATTCATATATAATCTTAGCAATAAGCATCATTTCTTGCAGGCAGCTCGGAACAATGTTCTTCTTGCTGTTCCAGCTCTTCTGTATGCCATCAATAATTATCTCAAGTTCATCATGCAGGTATATTTCTTCAGAAGGATCCTCTTAGCATTTTATGAACGCTTTTAGGTAGTTTTGCTGCAGTCTGTTCTCTTGATTATCTATATACTGATTGGCATTGTCTTTTTCCTTGGGTCTGTTCTTAGCATGATGTAGGCATAATACATAACTAATTAGTGTCAACTGCTTTTTGGCAGCTTTATTTCAATCCTGCAACTGTGAAGATGCTGAGCAACCTCAAGGTAATTTTTGTTTTTAATAATCTATCTAACCTTGGTTCTTATTGGCAGCTATTACCTTCAATTTATTTGTGTGATTAGCTCTTGGCACTTTTCTTTATCTTATGTTGGTGATGCTTCAACAGTCAAGAGTTATTCTGTAGTACCATTAGTCCACTGATGCTAACATTTGCTGGCTAGTTTATTGCTCAATCAGACAATTTCCAAGTTCTCGGTATTCTTGTTTCTCAGCAGCTATAATTTCCTTCCTGATGAGAGTTTAACTGGGGTTACAATTTGCTTGGTAGTTCATTGCTTAATTATGCCTCTTTTGTGCTCCTCCTTTTCTTTTATTGTATGGTATTTGGAATTTGGATAGAGAGAGGCTTGGTTGAAATTGGACATGCTAATTTTCAACAATTTCTTACTATTTATTGCCTCTAATTAACCTCAACATTATTGCCAATTAAGTAATGCTGGTACTTCTTCGCACAGTGCCACTTGCAAGAATTTTTCCTTCATTCCTCTGAGATATTCGAAATAGTTTTTTCTTTTAAAAAATTGCTTGTGCTCCTTGTAAAATTCTCTATTTTTGCTTGGTGAACATGTAGGTTTTGGTAATTGCTGTTTTGCTGAAGATGATAATGAGACGCAGATTTTCAGTGATACAGGTTAGACTTGATACATATCAACTGCTTAATTAGAAGAAAGCACACATCAATACAGTAATTTGTATGCACTGAGTGCACATCTGATTCGTGGTTTTATGTGGTATCATTGACGTCTTTATTGCATGATAGGTGTGTAGCTAATTCATGTTTATTTTACAGTGGGAAGCTCTTGCTCTATTGCTCATTGGAATTAGTGTAAATCAGCTGCGTTCTTTACCTGAGGGTACTACAGCATTGGGTCTTCCGGTTTCAACGGGTGCTTACATCTACACATTGATCTTTGTAAGTGCTTTTGGTTATTTGCTATTTATATTTGGTGATGTCTTCTTTTATGTATGGGCCATGCGATTAGTCTTTTATTGACAGAAAGTAGTTTTGTGTTCATCATTCTTTTGTATCTTTGTTTTTTTCCCTATTGTTTGTTTTTACACATTCTGGAAGCTTAACATTGGATATAATCTTTCAGGTAACCATTCCATCTCTGGCCTCTGTCTTCAATGAGTATGCTCTGAAGAGTCAGTATGAGACAAGCATCTATCTTCAGGTGATCTTTAGACTTTTTAGCTATGCGGGCCTCTCTTCTGTTTTGAGAAATGCTTTTATAGCTATGATTTGTTAGTTTCGAAGGGAGTGATTGGTTTGTTAGAATTGTAGTAACTATTGCAGCCCTTGTACCTGTTATGTGTACAAGAGCTTAGTTTCTTTTCTTCCTTCAGGTTTGTGTAGTGTATCTTGACATTATGTTTGCTCAGATATTAGGAAGTTTGCTCATCTGGGAAATGTACTGAAGTTTCTCTTTGCTACAAGATATTTGCAGCCATCTAGCATGGTTATTGAATGAGTTCTTAATGGAAGCAATAGAATTTTTCTTTTTGGTCTGGTTCCTAAAGAAAGGCTTAAGAATACTTACTTTTATATGGTTATCCTCTAAAATATTTTCTCTTGTTTGGTTTGCAGAACTTATTTTTATATGGTTATGGTGCTATATTTAACTTTCTGGCAATACTGGGAACAGCTGTTGTTAAAGGTATGGTAAAGCATTATGATATTCGATTCTGCAAAGCAAGCTAAAAGTATACACAGAAGAGCTATTGGCTATACAGTTAAAATTTAAATTTCTTTCTTCAGATGCATCTTTAATTACTTTAATTTTGAACAAGCTTTATGCTTCAGTATATTTACTCATGATTAAACTTTATTGGTTACTTCTCCATAATTTTTTGTCTGAATAAGCAACCAGTAAGCCAGTTTGAAATCTTCATTTGTGTATCTGCTATTCTGATGTTCTCATTTTATTATTTCAGGTCCTAGCAGCTTTGATATCCTACAAGGACATTCAAAAGCTACCATGCTTCTTATATGTAACAATGCAGCCCAAGGAATTTTATCCTCTTTTTTCTTCAAATATGCTGGTAATTTTTTAATTTCATTAATTTTCATGGACTGTTCTAAGCTAATATGGAATTAGAATTTACTAAAAGATAGCTTCAATGAGGCATCCTACCAGTTATGTTTTCCAGACATATAACTTGTCTTCTTCAACTTATTCTTCTGTGCATTCAGATACAATTTTGAAGAAGTATTCTTCGACGGTTGCTACAATCTTTACTGGCATAGCATCTGCTGCACTATTTGGCCATGCTTTGACCATGAACTTCATCCTAGGAATTTCAATTGTGTTCATATCAATGCACCAGGTAATTAGTAAGGATGCTGCCTTATTTATGGCTAACATTATTCTGAAAATTAGGGCATTCTGCTTCTCTACCTTTTGTTTGTGGTTTTAGTTTGATGTTCTACTTTCCTTTGTAGTTCTTTTCACCTCTTTCCAAAGTCAAGGATGAACAACAGAATGGGAAGCTGGAACTGGTAGATTATCAGGACAACCACAGGTTTATAAATATACCCCTCTTTTCCATTTTCCTAACAAATCTTTTAAGATGAATTTTAGTATAGTGATTGTGCCATTGCTTCAAGTTGGTGTTCTTTTTATTTTTAATTTTTGTACATTTGACTTTACCTGTCCTTGATGGTTTAAGTTAGACTGTTCCTGCTTCATGCTTCAGATGAATTCCGCGGGGATAATGATTGCTCCTGATTTAGCAGCATTCTAACTAGAATTTTGCCTGAGTCAAATATTTTTATCTGTACAATATATGGAAAAGTGTTTCAATTAACTTAGCTCCTGCATTGCGGTTACAAATTTTTGTTCATTTTTTTATTATGTAAATTCAGGTCCAAAGAATCTTTCATTAATATGGCAGCAGGAGCAAATGAAGAGGTATGAATTTTCTGTGAAAGTGTTTGTTGTTCCCATGGAGAGGGTCTTTTGTTCTCCAACTTAATGTTTTTAATTTGTCTCTTTCCAGGCTAGTCATCGTGTTGGATCTGATGAGAGACAACCACTTCTTCCCACTTGAAGTTTCTTGGAGTATGTGACGACCTTTTTATTTCTTGGTGTTTCTTAATTTTGAAATGTTTCTGTGTTTTTTTTTTATTGCACCAAGTTCCTTAGAAAAGAAGTAGAGGGTTATCATGGTGAATTGTGTTTGCTAATTTTGCATTAACTACTTCCTTCTCTGATCTTTTTCTCTTCAAAATTAGAACCTGGACCAAACTCGTCCTTCTCAGTGGATTATAAGGCCTTAAGAGCTGAATGAATAAATGGAAAGCCTTGTATTAGTATGATAGATATTTCTGATTGAACTGCGCAAGTCTAGCGGTATCTTATATGTAGAATATGCCCTCACCAAGTTATACTTTATTGGCGTATTACAAATGAATGTGACACAGTTGTTGTAATTGATTGCAGGAAATTTGTTAGAAGGAATTCTTTTGGCAGGTGATGTTGGGTGGTGCTAGAGATAAACCAGATTTTGGAACATTTAATCGAATAAAACCTTAAAAATGAGGTTATTTTTTGTTATAATTTACTCGGGTCAGATGCTGGAGCCATCCAGTACTTGTTGCTCTGGGATACTGGTTAGAGAAGAGAAGTGCGGTTGGCTTGGTGCTGTGAGTCCCTAGTGATTCCTCTGCCTTCCCTCCCTCCATATGCAAAGATTTATGTGTTATTTGTATTCTTTATTATCATAAGAGCAGGTATAGAGAACAATTTTTCTTCTTCTTTTTGCCAAGTATTATTCTTTTTCTAGATAGTTGATTTTATAGGGTTTAAATTTCGTTTTATTTTGACATGAGAATGAGAATACAAAACTATTAATGGAAAAACATTTGGTTTTCCTCTGGTCATGGATTGATACCTATTTAATTGTAATTTGGTGTGGAGAGCAATGAATGGTATAATCTTTCATCATACCTACCTCGATTTCAAAGTGGGAATTTATTTGTAGTGATATTTTTAAAATTTTAAAATAAAATTATTTTATTTGGTAAAATAATTATTATAATTATCGAAAATTTTTAAATTAAAAAAAAATTTAGACGGTTCAAATTTATTTCAAGAAGTAAAAATTTACCAAATTCTTTGTTTTTTTTTTTTGTTTAATAAGATACAAACATTTATTATGTTTTTTAAGCAATTTTTATTTTCTTAAATTCTAACTATAAAAAATTTATTTTTTATATTATTAGTAATATTTATTAATTTATGCATTTTTACAAATAATGATCTTTGAATTGCATATTTAAGTCAATATTTTTCTTTTTCTACTATAAAAATCGTTATTTTTTATTTTAATTTTTTTTATTGCATCAAATTCTAATATTTTATTTTTTAAAAATATTTATTCAAACAATTCAATTACAAATGTTAATTTTTTCAAATTGTGCATTTTAAAATATAATTTTTTTTAAAAAAATTTACCATACAATTAAGTATAATGATTATTTGTCATTGAGGTCTTAACTTAGTAGCAAAAGGTCTTAGAACTTTTAGATTTTATATTCAAATTCTATCATGTGTGGGTTTGATTGTTTAATTATTTTTAGTTTGTTAGTTAATTATTCAGTTATTATGATTTAATTATAATGTAATAGTTTATTATTCAATTAATTATATAAATATAATACTTAATTATGATTGTAACTTAAAAAATATACTGATTATTTTGGATTATTTTAGTCATGTTTCATTTTAGATATTTAATATATATAGTGATTCAAATAGAGGTATAGGTGATAATAGTTTGAATTAAATCAAATTTGATTTGATTTTTTTAAATAATGTGTAGTTTTATAAATTATTAAAATCTAAATTATTTTTTTTAATTCAATTCAATCTGAATTAAATTTTATTAATTCGGTTTAATTTAGTTCATCAATTTTTAAATTTTAAATTTTTATATATTATTTTAATATAATTTTTAATATATTTAAACAAATTTAGATATAAAATAATTAATTTTATTTTACAAAAATTTTAAAAATATATAAAAATTAATAAAAATATATAATTCAATTTAATTCAATTCTTTTAAATTTTTATTTTTCAATTTAATTTAAACTTAATATATATTTAATATTTAAATTAAATTTAAATTAAATAAAAAATCAAAATTAAATATTTTAATTTTGAATCTATATTCGATCCTGTCCAATCTTTTCACCCTAAACAGCGGAACTTGGGCAATTTTAAAAAAAAAAAGCTGTGGTCAGACGATAGGAAGCTCCTCAACTGGTAAGGTGGATGCATGGCATGGCAATTGATGATAGGATGGGTCTTCTTGAGGTTGAATTGAATGTGGGTAATATCTATTATTCTACCTCTATGTCCATGTCTACGCAAGCTAGCTATGTGGAAAACATAGATACAGCCAGCTCTCCATTTGTATTGACGTTTAGGGGACGTTAAAAGTCTAATTTTGAGTTAATTTTTTTTATTTATATTAGAATTTTCTTTTCATGATGTAATAAAAAATAATAATAATAAAAAAATAGAATAAAGCAAGAATTTTTTTTTTTTGGCCAATATAAAGCAAGAACTTAAAGTGATGAATTTTTTTTGGCTTTTAATAAAACAGAAAAATAAAATAATTTTTAATAAATTACATCATTCATCATTTAATTATTATCTTATTTTTAAAATAGTTATTAAATTTATTAATTTAATTATTAAAATTTAAATAAAATTTATCATTCAATCGTTAATATTTAATGATAAATTAATATGATATTAAATTATTAAATATTTTAATTTAATTATTAAAATTTATTTAAATATTTTTTATCATTCCATCATTAATTTTTACGATTATTAATGTGATATTTTTATAATTTTACATCAACTCTTAAATGTTACATGCATTATCACATAAATAACATTTATTTTTTAAAAATTTATAATATCACGATAATAATATTATATATTATATAAAATGATGTGATATTATTATGTGATAATTAATAATTAAGTGAAATGACATATATCATTACAAATTAAACGATTGACTGATAAAAAATATTTATTTAAATTTTAATAATTAAATTAAAAATTTTAATAATTAAGGGATTATTTTAGAAACAAGATTAATAATATATTTTATTTATTTTTGCCACGTAGGATAGATAGGTCAGGTAACGGAAAGGTGTGGATTAGAAGTTTAGTACCTTAGACTACTTGAATTCGGAAAGTACAAGCCAGAAGCGGAACTGAGAAGCAACGAATAGAATAGAACAGACGAAACCGTGTTTCCCTTTGCCAGGTGAAGCCCTGTGTGGCGGTCTTCATTCCTTCCTCGTAACTAACCTCAACCAGAAATGAAACCTTAGTTATTAGTACCTTTGGCTGCTTCATTGGAAATTTATTTGTATAATTGCAGTGGCAAAGCAGTCTTCCTTCCTTAATTCTTTGTTAATACTATTATTTTTTGTTTAGATTAGATGAAGTGTGTGAAGAGCCGCGGCCTGCCCTTGTCCTTGTCCTTGCCTTCTCCATTTCCATCTGCTTCTCCTCCTCTGTTTCTATTGGGCTGCACCAAATCTAAAACATATCGCCCGCAGCTATCCTTCCCCACTCCGCGTCGTTCTCGCCGTTCTCGCTCTTCTCGTTCTTCTCGCTTCCCAAGGAATCGAAACTACGACAACGACAACAACCTTAGCCTCGGCCTTAGACGGAGCATCGAGTTCGAATCATCCCCATATAACCACAATGTCAAATTGGTCCTCGACTTTGACCAAATTTCGTCCCTGTCCTCCTCCACCGTAAACCGCCTCGTCTCTTTCTCCACTGACGCTTTCCAAGACCTCCAAAATTTGATTCAAATCAATACTCAAGCTCGCACCCTTCAACTCTCATGCCGCAAGTCCACCCTTCAATTTCTTGCCGCTTTCCTCACTTGTGGCTTCCTCATTGCTTTTGCTTTGAGGGTTTTTGTTAAGATGGGTTTGGCCTTCAAGGCTCGGTTTAGGCCTAAGCACAAGGTTATTGTCCGGAGGGATAGGAGTCTTGGAGGAAGAGAGGTGATTGTAGGGACAAACAGGGACCAGGATCACCCTTCTAATTGCAGGGCTTTGCACAATCCCTTATCCTTGTCCACCGTTCCCACTGTTACCAATAAGACCCATTCTCCACGCCTCCAGGTTAGGGAAAAGTTGCCAAAATGGTGGCCTCAACCGGATTCAATGCCTAAAGGGGGTTCTGTCTTCAATTCCGAGTATTACCAAACTCAGGCCAACAGATTGATCAGAGGTCCATTCTTTTTTATTAACTAATTTCAATTCATATTTGTTTACGTAATGTTTGGTTGAAAATTCAGTATTAGACTGAACATTATCCCCCTTGGTTTGCATGTAAAAGTTGATCTTTTTTTCAAATTTCTCTACTTGTTATATATACTCGATACTCATGTTTGACATCTTCAAGGCAACTTATCTACTTCATTTCCAGCAATCATCGAAAACAGATTGGGTGGAAAAGACATTACAGAGGATGATATAATTCAAGTCAGTGCCTTTTTAACCTTATTTATTTATTTCCCACATTCACGCATTATCTCAGTGTTATGCTTAGAAAATGATGTATTCAGGATTCCTTATGAGGTTTCGTTTTTTTTTATGTAGAATAGTTAACTGAGTCACCGCAAGTTGGAATACTAAATTCCTTGCAAATGTTGTACTCTTTCTACGATATTAATATGCATGCAAAAATATGATTGATGATTGTGTTTTATGCAGCATAATATGTACTTACTTCATTTTAACCTGCATCTAGTGACTATTTCATTCTTTGGAAATGGAAGATATTAGTGTTCTCTTGACCTTGGACAAAATTCCCAAATTACTTCTAATGGATTTGATGTTCTACTGCAATTGCACTTCCTTTGCTGGATTAGCTGATCCTTGAACTATGTGTACTGTCCTTTCTTTTTGCCTGTATGTGTGAGCAGTTGCGTCAAATATGCAGGACATCTGGTGTACGGGTCTCCATTGACACAACTAACACACGGGATTCATTCTATCGTGCATCTATTGAGTTGGTTTTAAACGTCTGCTGCAGGTATAGAGTTTTTTTCTTTTTTTGGCAAAATTTCTACACTTTTGTGTTGTTTCTCTCTTTCTTTTCCTCCTTTCTTTTTTTTTTTTAATGTATGAGACTTTATCTTCTAACTTGTTTAAATATTTTGCATGACTTAGATAATCTTGTGCTGCTACGATATCAGTAAACCTGTAACATGCTTAGAACTTTTGCAGGGTGCCAAGTCACTCTACCTGTGTTCAGATTGATGGTGAAGATGCTCGGCAATTTCTTTCTGGGCTAGCTGAAAATATTGGACTTGACAATATCCGTGCTTCTAGAATGGTATCTGCTGGTGTCGCTGCACGAACACGTTTAGGATTTTTGCAGGCTTGGGTAATTTTTCATACTCTTATTCTTGTATGTGCTAGCTTTTGCACATTTAGATGATTTTCTTTCCTATTTTCATAGGAATTTGTTTAGAGTATCAAGAATAATATTGAAGCTGAGTGTTCCTTGAAAACCAATGAGGCCATACCTGCCCGGATCATCACATCAATAGAGAAGCAAGAGCATTAGCAACTTTGTTGTTGAAATTTATTGATTAACATCGGCAGTGGTGTCCTGTTTTCCAGAAGCCTATATTTTGTGTAATCTATCATCCAAGTTCTTGACAGCATGCTTTGCGAAATTTATATGATGCTTAGTACTTGTGGTATCAGTTTTGTCACAAATTTTAATAGAGTTATTGCAGCTTGCTACAGGGTTCCTACCCTCACCCCCTTTTTCTCCTATTTATATAACTTTAGAGAACCATGATCTTACCCTTTTGGCTACTTTGTTGAATTCTTGATTTTCATGGTGCCATTTGGTTGCAGGCTTTTGAAATGCAAGGTAAACATACTGAAGCAGTTTTGGAACTTATGAAGATATGTCTTGTACACCAAATCTTTCCTCCTGAAGAGTCCTCGGTATGTAATTTGATTTTTTTTTTGTCAGTTGCTAAATTGCTATATCAAGTTTAAAGTTTTTTTGGGAATTTCTTATTTTTGTTTTACTTTTTGTTTCTTATTTTTGTTTTACCTTTTAAAGTTACCGTTCACGTTGATAGTTATGGCAATGTTTTTCTTGAACTTTTCAAAACTGCCATTTGTAGGCTTTTCTTGATGATTGCTAACCCATATTAAGTTTGGGGTTTAAATTATTTCCACAGCCTGAGATGGAGATGGTGGCTCGAGGATTGGAGAAGATTTTGAAGGTGGAGCAGAGGGAATTGCTGATGGGTATGCTGGTAGGGGTTTGTAGCGGAGAGAGTCGAAGAAGTGCGGCAGAAGCTCTGGGTTTGGCCTGTTGACATATTCTCTGTTGCCAGCCAAAAGCCTCTATATATTTTTTTTTACCCAATAGACTAGATAGCTTAAATTCTTTTTATTTTTAGAAAAACAGAATGCTTTACTACAGTGTTGGGAATAATTAGGAGAGGAAGAAAAGATGCTCAAATATGGAAAATTTCAGGTGACATGACTTTCTTCAAGCGTATTTCGATAATTCAGCCATTTTGCTTTAAAATGAAAATAAAGTAAATGTTAGTATTTGCTTTCTTCTTGTTTTAAATTGCTTTGCTTGTGAAAGCCTATAACTTATAGGCGGTTTAAGTCGATGCACCGTCAAAATTATCCTCATTTTCGGTTTATTTATTTATTTATTTTATTGTTGTAACTTGTAAGCAGTGTGAATAACAGATAAGCACCTTCATAATACCTCACTCAAAGCGCATGCACAATGCCCTTTCAGCAAGCCAGACGCTACATACATGGGGAACCCCTTTAGCAACCGTGCACGTAGCTCATAGCATCATGTTCCAACCAGCCAGTTATGTTCTCCACGGAGGTTAGGGCTAGAAGAGAATTCATTCTTCTTTTTTGGTCAAGAGAAATATAACGGAAGAGGTCATCAGAAGAGTGGATTCCGCTAATAGAAAGTCATTATCTTTTAAAAAAGCCCACTGTGAAACTTGAAATAGTGAGTCATCTTTGGCAAGCCACAAGAAGTTCTCCCTAAACATAAAATTTTGATATAAATGATATAAGATAAGCAAAATGCATAACAAATTACTATGATTCACAATGATTAAGCCCTTCAAATAAGCTTGGCATAGTTCCAATGAGCTACTGCTAAGCACCCCAACATTATTGAATTTTTAGCCCATCTAACTGAAGTAGGAAAATGATTAATCAGTTGTAGTTTCTCACAGCAATGCTGATTCATAAGCTAATCAATGTAGCTTACCAACAAGATAGGCCACATGAAGCAGTTCTATCTCTGCATCTTCTCTCTAGTGACTATAAGGAAGTCCCACTTTACCTTTCCGTCTAGCTATGTAGTTGACCACATCTCTCTTAATGCACTTCAAGTTCCTATCTTCATAGGTTGCTTCCTGGAGGGCTCTGATGTTGAAAGTTGAGCAGTATTATGAGGCACAATGAAGGATTTGGCTAAAAAGATTCTCAGCCTGCTTATTCTCTAGAGTCTCTTCAGACTGGTTTTCAATGGCCTCTGGTGATTGACAGTGATGTTGCACGATTCCCTCTTAAAGCACTTCTAGTTCCTATCTCCCTGGAAGACTTTGTGCAAGGCTCTGATGTTGAAAGCTGAGGATTAATTTTAGATATGACGATGGATTTGGCTGAGAGATTCTTACTCTTACCCTGCTTGTGTTATCAATGTTCTCCGTAATTGTTTTCCGTGGTCTCTGATGATGAAAGTTGAATGAGTTTTATATGCTTTATAGAAGATTTTGACGAAATTCACTCATGCTTTTCTGTAAGTAACTTCAGCCTTTTCATGCTTCTGGTGGTAACACCTGTACTTGGGGTAAGGATGCTTACACCCATCCTTGACTGACCGTTATTCTGGGAATCCACTGTTCTTTTACTCCTTGAATATGAGATGTTATCATCTACATGCTTCTGAATAACCTTAACCTTCTTATCACAATTTGAATTATCAGCATGAGCAGAATAAGGACAGACCTTTGGATGCTCGTTTCCCATGTTTGAATCAACTGAAATTATTGTATCGGTACTGAGTTTTTCCAGCAAGTGAGAAAAAGTAGTTCTTTTCAGAATAGAGTTTTGAGAATCTCCAGCAGAAAACATTAGTAGATCACGTATCTTAGTAGCAGGGAGATTTTCTAAAGAAGCTGGCAGGAAAGAAATCATATTGCTGTGAGAAGACCTGTTATCTCCAAGTAGACTAAAAGGATCTTCATTAGAAAACTGTGAAGCATATTCCTCCCAATCATATGGAAATCCAAAGAGGAAATGACTGCAAACCTGCAAGGATTAAGATTGAGAAATTTGAGCTCCAATCCTTGCGAAAAAAGCAAGGAGTTACAAATGTGCATGACAAGAACAGTTGCATTGCGAATCATCAGCTTATACTTTGTAGTTGTTTTGGTAGTGTTTTGTCTATCAATTTGGTTTATCTGTCCCTAAGTTAAATCACTAAGATCCATTTTAAATAAACAAGGCAGCAACGCACAGCTCAACGAAGATAATAATTAAGGACATGATAATATTGTTGGCTAATATACAGGATAGAATGAATAGAAGCAGTAATTACATACCTCAGGTGGAAATCCATTTTGAAGTGAACGAGAGGTATTGATGAAGCCGCTGATAGCAATTGCGATGCCATCTGTAGTCTCAAGAGTGGTGGCATCATGTCTTTTGGCGATGGCTGCAGAGCAAAACACCCTTTGTCCTTGTCTCCTGTTCATTCATAACCCAATATACATATAAAAGCACTAAAACAAGAAAAAGCTATATGTTCATCACAATTCACAAATGTGGTCAGAGTTTGAACTTGATCAACTTCCACTTTTTTTTTTAAGAAGAAAAAAATGATTACTCGGAATCATGCTGCAAAAAGAAAACCCTTTCTTTGGATTTTTGTGAAATTGGGGAAGCGTGAATAAATGTATGAAGCAAAGAAAATTGAAGGTGAGTTAGAGGCTACCCTCTGCATTCAAATCCTCCAACAGCTAAACCACTGGGATGCGCCATGTCCAGCCACCAATCATGCAACAGCACCTGTAGCCCCAATATTCAATTATCACAGAACATAATCTTTTAATTGACTTGTATTATTATTAGAATGAAAAAGAGTCTAAAGAAAGAAAGAAGAATGGAAAACTCACAGAGTTGAGGGATAGATTAGCGAGAGGAATAGCAACATCGACGGGGATGGGGATGGGGTCGTTGGATTTATATGACTTTGGAGAATATGTTGTCCCTCTTCTCTTCCACATTTGTGATGGTTCGCGCGGCGGGCAACTCAACTCCTCTGCCTCTGGATTCTTAAATTCTTCTTTTTGGGTTGGTTTAGGGCTAATTTAACATTACATCTTAGACGTGTCAAATAGGTGGACGCGGACCCGCACAGTCTATTTAAATATTAGTTTATATGTTAATTGTGTCATTTAATATTAGCTTATATGTTAATTAATCATGATGATCCAACTATAAAAATTACTGTATGCTGGCATCGCTTATAAAGGTTAAGGTAATGGTCTAATATGACACATAATAATTTTCATGGGTTGTGTTGAGAAGATAATAAATATATAATAAAATAAAAAAATACATAATTTATGTGGTTCAATAATAAAATATTTATATTCATAAAAATGAATAATAAAATTCACTACATAAAGATATTAAAATTATAATTCTTATATTTTTTGAAAAAAGGTACACGCACATTATTTATCTAATATCTAGTAATATGCATATAGTGAAAGTTTTATTGATTGATTCATATATTAGAAGTAAGTGAAATTTTAAATTTTTTTTTGATAAATTAGATATTAAATTTTCTTTATAAGAGAAAATATTTTAAAAGCATCTTATCTAACGGTATTTCTTGAAATTATTTTATAATTAGATAGTATATCATTTTTAATTAAATAATTAAAAACATTTATTATTTGCAAAACAAATGGTTGCATAAATTGCATTATAATTTTAATTAATTGATTACATCAATTATATTGTAAAAAATAAAATGTACCTAAAAATTCATTAACATATTGACTAAGTATAGTTTGTGAAAGATCACTAGAAGTGGTAGACGAAGCTTTATGTTTTTCCTTAAACCTTGCCGGATGACCAATCCTTCCTTTTTATTTTACAACTAAAATTATATATATATATATGTTATAAATTTAAAAATTTCAATCATATAACTTTGAAAATAATATTAATTTGTTTTTATAATCAAATTTAAATGAATAAAAATTTTCTTTTGCTTAATTTTTTTTTATTTTTTATTTTTAGATTCACTTGATATTGACCATATATGATGTGTTTTTTTATTTAATTTTTTTTCTTTTTTTATATATATTTAATAAGCAATTTTTTATATTTTATTTTTTTGTGAGGCCTAGTTGATATCAAAATATATCATGTGTTAAGTTATTTGATTCATTCTTTTCATTTTTTGTTTTTACTTCTTATTTATTTATTTATTTCTATTTATATTTGAAAGTATTTTTTAATATTTGAAATTTTTAATATGGGCCAATTTGATATTATTATTAAAAATATATATTTTTCATTTTTTATTGTTTTAAAAATTTGATAATTTAAAAAAAGAATATTAGCAGAAGTGTTAACATCATATCTAACTTTGATTTTTTTAAGTATTTTTTTTAAGTATCTTTTTTTAAAAATTCATGATATAAAATTTTCAAGAAAAATTCATCATCAGTAATATTGTGTGGCAACCCAACTATTTTCTCTTTTTATTTTTTAATTTTGTCGTTTATTTTCTTTTATTTTTAGTTTTTTCCTTTATTTTTATTTTTAAAATTAAATCATTGTTATGAAAAGAGACCAATCAATAGGTACACACAACACTCTATTCCATCTTTTTTATCTTTTTTGTTTTTTAATTGGATAAATTTTATCCTAAAAGAAATTGATAAATAAATTTTTAAAGAAAAATGTCAATGAAAATATGTATGACAAAACAACCTTGCATTCAATCAATTTTGATTCATCTTGGATCCAATAGGTGAGGCTTTTTTTTTTCTTTTTTAAATTTTAGATTGGATCAAGTTTTTTCTTTAAAAAATTTAGGGTTAAGTTGGATACGAGTTCAGTGTGTATTATTTAGTTTGGATATATATATAAGTATATGTTTTATTATTCATTTGATTTTATATTTATTTATAGCTATTACAGTAATAAAATTATTATTTAATATCTTAATTAATAAATCTACGTGGAATCCTTATTTAGCCTTTTTCTCTTTTCTGTATTTTTCTTTCATTTCTTTTGTTTATTTAAAATTTTTTTTAACTTTTTAAAATTAGTTAAATTTTGTAAAAAATAAATTAATAGATGTAGAGATAACAAAATAAATCAATAAATCTAAGATTGAGTTGAGATTTTTACTTTTTCAAAATCAAAATCAAATCAAAAGTGGGTTTAAGGTCTTCTTTTTTGCTGCAGCAAATATATAAAATTATATTTTTAATTATATATTTCATTATATGTATTATTATATTAATAACTTTATTATTTAATTTTTTAATTTAATAAAAATATTATATTTATATATAATTAAGATGTAATCAATCAATTCATTTATTCATTATATAAATTTTACTTATTATATTTTTTATTTGACTTTCATTTAAGGTGTCGAAGTGAGGTATTATTTTTTTTTATTTTTTTATTTTTTTGTCTATTTTTTATTAAATTCTTTTTTTGGTTTTAAGTTTAAGAAGCCTCCAAAATGCCACATAATAGCTACCCATTGGCATTCCTTTTTGAATCCAGGAATTGGCACCCATCTCATTGGATCATCAAATGCATCCAACGGTTGAGACTTACTCCTTGTCTTCAAATTTGGGCACCAAGCCTCTTTCCTTTAATCTTCAATTTTCAGTCAACTGAGAGTCATTTAATTGCCAAATTAGCCTTGTAAAAATCTAGAAATTTCTAGCTCCAATTCAAGCTCTTGATACCATACCTATGCATTGCATCCATTTTAGCTTATGTAACTTTACTACAAAAATGACAAAACACTAATGAGCGAAAAAGCACATTTAAACAAGAAAAATATGAAGATTAAAGCTTGAATTGAAGTTCACTTAAAAGCTCAAAAAAGTAAAGGAAGTAATGAAGTAAAGTTAGGAAAAATCTCCCAAGTATGCCATTTAAGCATGCTTAACACTAAGCTCGGCCAATTGTGGATTTTTGCACCAAAATGCATCTAACATGACTCCAAAATAGCATTTTTTTCTCTTTTTTCATATTTTAATCTACACATTGAATATTTAAGCAATTAATAGTATTTTAACCTTATTTTCTCAAGGATCAAGCAAATTTTCACTAAAAAATGCCATAAAAAGATATGATAAATCATTAGAATTTTAGTGCAATCATATACGTACAAGGGCTCACCAGGTACAAGACTAACGAGCAAGGATGGTAAAATAAGGTACGGCTTGAGTTCTTTGAAGGCCTTTTGCATTGATCATCCCACTTGAATTTAGTGGCGCATTGAATAACTTTGAAATGAGAGGCACTTATTCACCAGTTTCGAAACAAAATAGTTAAAGGCTTCCACTCGCCTTATTAACCTTTGCATCTCTTTAGTAGTCTTTGACCGATTCATCTCCAATATAGCCCCGACTTTCTTTGATTTTGCCTCGATACCTCTATTGGACACTAATAAACTTAAGAACTTTCCCATCTCCATGCCAAAAGTACACTTAGCAAGATTCAACTTCATATTGTATTGGCAAAAAATGGAGAAGACTTTTGCTAAGTCTTATATATGCTGTTGTAAAGAAAGACTTTTCACCAGCATATCATCTACATACACAACTAAAGATCTCTCGTTCAGATCCTTAAAAATTTTATTCACTAACCTTTGGTAAGTGGCCCAACGTTTTTTAACCCAAATGACTTAACAGTGTAAGAAAAGAAACCATTCTCAGTGATAAAAAATGACTTTTCCTGATCCGACCATGCTAGTTTAATCTTATTATAGCTTGAAAAGGCATCCATAAAACTCAAATATTAGTGGCTCGCAGAGAAGTCTACCAATCTGTTAATGGAATGTAAAGAAAAGCTATCTTTCAGTTAAGCTTTGTTTCAGTAAAGAAATGGAATGTAAAGAAAAGCTATCGAAAGCAAAACACATTTTCTTTTGCCTTATTTGTTTAGCTATTAGATCTACGTTCAAGTGCTAAACACACAAACACATTTGCATTTTTTGTAAAAATCGATGTAGCATTCTGGTAGCCCTCTAATAAAGTACAGAACCTGTTTATGTAACAAAGTCCTGATTAGGAGGGTACAATTGGACTTAGACTGTTTGTTCGATATGCTAAGCCTTATACTGGTTGGTTTTTTCACAAATGTACAAAGCTATCGATGTCAAGGGTCTGGGCTAAGGTGGGGTTAATTACATGAATTGATGGTGGAGACCGGCGCTGCCCCCACCTTAATCACTAGATTTTGTTGTGCTGTCTTCAATTTGCTCTTTTTCAAACCCTATTTTCTGAGTTAACCGTAGTAAAAGCATATGGCATTGGTGAGCTGTTACCTAATTTATCTTCATAAACCCAATTCTTATGGGCATAAGGAACTTCACCTTTATACAATAGATAAATATGACCATCTTCATTTTCTTCATCAATGGCCTACCAAAAATTATGTTGTATGCAGAGGGCTGATTAACAATAAGAAAATCTACCAGCACAGTTACCATGTTCTCGTCATCGCCCATAATTATTGATAAAATGATAGATCCTTTCACAACAATGGATTGGTTGACGAATCAAAAATTGGCCTTGATGGCCACAAATTAGTGTCATTGAATCCCATCTACTTAAAAGTTTGGTACTGAAAGAGATCCATTACACTACTACTATCCACCAAGCCCTATTTCAACTGTAAGTTGCCAATGGTGGTAAAGACTACAATGTGATCATTATCGTTGTCTACTAAATTATCTATATCATCTTCTGAGAATGTGACTTGCTAATCGTCAGTACTCAGCTTTTTTAGAGCTAAATCAATAGATATTACATTGCGCAATTGTGACTTAGCTTAGACTTACTGGTTGCCAAATCCTCTGTTACTCATACAATGGCATAAATCATTTCTCGAATTGAGCTGTTGCCATCTCTTGTCAAGTTTCATCTGTCTGCCTTAACGAGCCTTTACCTTGTTGGTGAACAAGTGCCTTTCTAGCTGGCTAGTAGGTACATTGTCTCGACGTTCGACTTTTCAAGTGGGTGGGCTATTCATGTTTGTCTTTAGCCTTTTAATCTCCTTTTGAAAAACAATACACTTCTTAATAGAGTGTCCTCTTATAGAATGGTACATGCAGTGGCATTTGGA